TGTGTGTGTGTGTGTGTGTGTGTGTGTGTGTGTGTGTGTGTGTGTGTGTGTGCGTGTGCAACTCTCCAGGCTGCTTTTTGTGGTTCCTCTGGTTGTCTGTACCTTCCCTCATTCACACAAGCCTCCCAGGCTTTTAGAGCCATACGTTCAAAACAAAACACCCCATACACCGCATGTGAACCAAACTGTCACTATTTTCTGTCCACACTTAATGACCTGAACTGAGCCAAACCTCTCCCAGCAGCATACAAATTTTAGGAACTCTCAAGAAACTGTTTGACTATTTGCCCTCATGGTGATGTTTACTTGGACTTTTTTGTTTTGTTGGGAACTTTTAATGGAATATGTGTTTAGCTATTTTCTTGGTTTGTTGTGCTTCTGAATTAAAAAAGAAAAATAGGAGAGAAGTGGGGTAAACACAGAGACAAGCAGACACAACAGTGTATTCATTAAAAAAGCTTAATTAAGCTCGCTTTTGCTTGTTTTCACTGTGTGCATTTTATGCCTTTGAATTGAAAACACCAGATTTAAGGTAATTACTCCTGTCTGACCCCCAACTCTGTGTAAATTACTGGGTATGCTACCCTGTCTATGGAAATGATTTCCAACACAGGGCCTGCTCACAGAATCTAGCCAAGTAAGGATAGATTATTTTAAAGGGAAAATATTTCTTTTAAAGGCAAATCTTGATTTATGCAGCTTGATTTTTGTGGTTGTCCTTATTATCAACGTCTTAACAAATGTATACTGCAACGTATTATGTGATTATATAACATATTGTATTATATTGAATTAGTATTGTTTATATTGTATTATACTGATGCAAAAGATAAAAAGATGTTATGTTGACATAGAAGCATCTGATGTCCAAACCCTGCACACACTGACGGTGTATGAATATGTTGTTTTTTTCAGCCTACGTCGGGTTCATGTGGATGTTGCTGCTGGTGGCTTATGGCCAGAGGGACCCCAATGCTTTTTTCTTGAACCAACACATTAGGAAAAGCTTTACTGACAGTGTCCCGGAGAGCATGAGCCTTCAGGACGTGTTCACCTGGGCCAACACCTCTCTTCTGACAAACCTCTTTGGAAATTATCCAGGTAGAACAAAGTCCCTGCACACACCCAAACAGGATGAGGAGAGCACTTTCCCAGCTGTAACGCAGTTTTTTTGCATGTAAAATAGTCAGGCTTTTTGTTTGTCATTTATTTGTGTCATAAAGACTTGACAAATTGCTTTATTCAGTGAAGCAAAGCGCTTAAGCAGATTTGCACAGCTTTGTGTCAAAGCAGCTGAACTCATCAGAGGAAATTAAACTGCAGTCGACTTCACATAGAGGCAACAGAAGGCTTCTTTAGCATCATGCAGAGGTTTATTGTCGCTTTTTATCCAAGTCCAAGCATGCTGATAGCAGATAAAATAATTAGTTGTGACACATAGTGCCACACCATGTTTTTTTTTTTAATGATTTGAGCAGTGTTGAAAGTCCACTTTGTGACATTTTATTTGAGCATAATTACTAAAGTTGTCCAGGACAAAAAAAAGGCATGCCGTTTCATAGCTGTTTAGGGAATTAAATGTAAAGTCTTATAAAGTAAATCTGTCTGTAATGAGCAAGCATAAAAGTACAGCTCTTTGCTGTGCAAAACAAAACAACAGGAGACTAATCCTGATTTGCCATAGCATGAAACTACTAACAGGAATGTAAAGAGACTAACCTGCATCAAGATGTAAGTGTTAGTCTAAAAAACACTGTATCCATTACAAAAAAAACATGACAAAGGTTTGAATTGAAATGAACTGAATGCCTTTTATTTGTCATTATATTCCTAAAAATGACAATAAAGCTCATTCAATTGAATGAAATTCAATTCAAGGCATTTGTTTGGTCACCTGATATCAGACACCCTCTTAGATATTCTTTACCTAACCACTAATATTTATTTTTTTGCTCAATAAAAGGCAGGTAGCCATATTGATTTGACCAATGAGTGCATAGCGTAACAGTTTATGCCTGTGCTAACAATTTAAATGTTCCATTTGTTGACTCAGGTTTTATCACTGATGGAAACTCCAAGCTGGTGGGCAATGCCCGTCTGCGTCAGCTGAGGGTTCAGAAGAACCAGTGTCAGGTTGGAGATCCCGTGCTGGCGCTGGTGGCAGAGTGCCACGCCCCGTACGTGGGGGGGGTGGAGGACATGGGCTCCTATGAACCGGGCTGGAACCGCACCGTAAACGACAACAGTAGTGAAAACGCCTCCGGGCCCTGGAGATACCGGACACAGGCTCAGCTCAGGGCTCAGCCCTTCTGGGGCAGAATGGGGCTCTACAGGGGGGGGGGCTTTGTGGTGGAGCTCGGCCCAGACTTATCAAACGCGAGCAGGTATGTACAGCAACACACCAGTGTGGATTTCTCAACATGAGCTCTGAAAATGGTTTCGGTGTAAATATATATGTATTTTTACCTGCAAAGATGTTTTACATTTCAGTTGAAGACATGGCCAACCTTTAATATATTCCTATCTGTAATCCACAGCACCCTGGAGTATCTTTTTAGGAATAAGTGGCTGGATGTGTACACAAGGGCCATCTTTGTTGAGTTTACTGTTTATAATGCAAATGTGAACCTCTTCTGCATTGTCACACTCCTGATGGAGACCTCAGCCGTAGGTAGGGAGCGCTGTCTTTGATCACTGCAATCACGTTGCATTAACAACTTTAAGTGTAATTTCCTTGCGAATGAATTATGTCGGATTTATTTTGGATGCAAATACACCTCGAGCGCGTTGTGTGAATGTCATCATCCTCGCCTGTACGCAAATCAAACAATCAAACTGCCTTTTCAGGAGCCTTCCAGTTTTCCAGTGATTTGCAGAGTGTCCGCCTTTACCAGTCAACAGGGGGCCTTTACTTCTTTGTCATGGCAGCTGAGATCGTTTACATGCTTTTCATCCTCTATTACATGGTCCTGCAGGTAATCACTGATGGAAAAATCTACTAAAGATGTGAATTGTAAAAATAAAATATTTTCATATCAACAGTTCCTACATATTAAAACACTTTCCAATACATGGATGAAGACATATTTAGTATCCAGGGAAAGGTTTGACTCACAACTGATTGAAAACAGACCCCACAGATTAAGGACAAACTTTTTTATCACAGCATGCCACATTTATAATATTCTGTACTATTTAAGAATTACCCTAAAAAGAGATTCACTGAGACCGTGAGATGGGCAAAGGCTTATTTATCCAGTTAAGTATCTTCTCTGCAGTTTACAGCAGATGTTATTATATAAGAAACGGTAGTGTCTTTGACAGTATTTGCTGGATCTAATTGCATTAATCTTGTGTCATTTGCAATTTACTTCCACATGTTTTCTTTTCTTCCTTTTAGGGCGATGTTATATCATAACTTAATTATATTTTTCACACGTTTTTTCGAGGGCTATTTTAAACCTCTATCAACTGAAATTAGGTTTTTGAGGTTTCTGGTTTTGTAAGCAGAAAGTAAATGACAAACACAACCAAGGATAAATGAGCAAACACATGCACACAAATTTTAACTTAACTGGAAGCTTTCAAACCGGAGGAGTGCTGCTTCTGTGCAAACCTTGAGCTTGTTTTCAACAAATGTTCTTATGTATTGCTGCTTACACTTCTGCAATTCCACTGGCATGTACACGATTTTACATTTTGTCTCCCGAAAAGGGCAAACTGCTGAAGCAGCAGGGCTGGGTTTACTTTAAAAACAAATGGAACCTTCTGGATCTGAGTATCATCCTTCTGAGCTGGAGCGCCTTGGCTTTCTTCATCATGAGGACCCTGCTTGGAAACCGAGATATGTCCTTCTATCAAAAAAACAAAGACCAGTGAGACCTCACTCTGTGTTCTGCCCCACGCTGAGATTTGGCCCTCATCACGACTTTGTGGGCTTAAAAAAAGAACCTAACCTTTGCTAACAATTATCTTCCCCATGCAGATTTGCCAGTTTTTATGAGACAGCCTCTGCAGACTTAATGTTCCAGTATCTGATCGCCTTCATCGTCCTTCTGGCCACGGTCAAACTGTGGCATCTGCTCCGACTGAACCCCAAAATGAACCTGATCACTGCGGCCCTGCAGCGAGCCTGGAGTGACATTTCTGGTTTTCTCGTGGTCATTATCGTTGTGTTCGTGGCGTACTCTATGACAGTGAGTATTCTCCAGCTTTATTCAGATGCTTCTATTCGCACATATCAATCTCACATGTCATTAGGAGGGTATAACATCACAAACATAGCACTTCTAAGACAACTGGAACTCAGGATGAGAGACATTTTTGTTATTTTGCTATATAAACTCATTGTGTGTAAGATTTTACACCTGTGAATAATATCTAATACTACCATTCTGGACTTATACAGTGAGGAAAATAAGTATTTGAACACCCTGCTTTTTTGCAAGTTCTCCCACTTAGAAATCATGGAAGGGTCTGAAATTGTCATCGTAAGTGCAAATCCACTGTGAGAGACGTAATCTAAAAGAAAAATCCAGCAATCACAATGTATTATTTTTTAACTATATATTTGTATGATACAGCTGCAAATAAGTATTTGAACACCTGAGTAAATCAATCTTGATATTTTGTACAGTAGCCTTTTTTTGCAGTTAAAGAAGTCAAAAGTTTCTTGTAGTTTTTCACCAGTTTTGTACACACTAGAGGAGGGATTTTGGCCCACTCCTCCTCACAGATCTTCTCTAGATCCGTCAGGTTTTTGGGCTGTCGCTGAGAAACACAGAGTTTGAGCTCCCTCCAAACGTTCTCTATTGGGTTTAGGTCTGGAGACCGGCTAGGCCATGCCAGAACCTTGATGAGCTTCTTACAGAGCTACTCCCTGGTTCTCCTGACTGTGTGCTTTGTTTCATTGTCATGTTGGAAGACCCAGCCCATCTCAATGCTCTAACTGAGGGAAGGAGTTTGTTCCCCGTAATCTCGCAACACATGGCCCCGGTCATCATCTCCTTAATACAGTTCAGTCGCCCTGTCTCGTGCACAAAAACACCCCCAAAGCATGATGCTACCACCCCCATGCTTCACAGTGGGGATGGTGTTCTTGGGATGGTGCTCATCATTCTTCTTCCTCCAAACACAGTTAGTGGAATTATGACCAAAAAGTTCTATTTTGGTCTCATCTGACCACATGGCTTTCTCCCATGACTCCTCTGGATCATCCACATGGTCATTGTCAAACCTAAGAAAGGCCTTGACATGTGCTGGTTTAAGCAGGGGCTTGCATGATTTCAAACCATGACGTCTTAGTGTATTACCAACGGTAACCTTGGAAACGGTGGTCCCAGCTCTTTTCAGTTCATTGACCAGTTCTGGGCTGGTTTCTCACCTTTCTTAGGATCATTTAGACCCCACAAGGTGAGATCTTGCATGCAGCCCCAGTCAGAGGGAGATTGACAGTCATGTATAACTTCTTCCATTTTCTAATGACTGCTCCAAAAGTGTTGGCAGTTTCCCTATAGCCCTTTCCAGCCTTGTGGAAGTGTACAGTTTTGTCTCTAGTGTCTTTGGACAGCTCTTTGGTCTTGGCCATGTTAGTGGTTGGATTCTTACTGAGTGTACGGGGTGGACAGGTGTCTTTATGCTGCTAACAACCTCAAACAGGAGCATATAATTTAAGATAATAGATGGAGTGGAATTCTAGCTGATAGACAGGTGTTCGAATACTTATTTGCAGCTGTATCATACAAATGAATAGTTACAAAATCTTTAGTAAAAAATATTTTTTTAGATTATGTTTCTCACAGTGGACACGCACCTACGGTGACAATTTCAGACCCTTTCATGATTTCTAAGTAGGAGAACTTGCAAAATAGCAGTACACACCCACACACATATATAAGGTAACATATGACAACATATTTAGAACTAAAAAATTAATTATCTCAAAACATACTAAACTACTCAGTAGCGGAATAATCTTTTGCAGATTTAGTCTTCTTCGGATGTCTTTGCATACAATTAGACAGTTTATCCTCTATCTTTCTCCTGTTCTTTATAAAAAAAAGGTCTTGTGTTTGGATGTGTACAAAGAGGCAATCTTCGATTGAAGGTGCGGGATTTAAAACTGTAGATAATCAAATTATCTGATTATTTTTCATTATTGTCGGCATCTTTACATTATAAGTCACTCTGTAAAGAACTGGAGATGCAGCTTATGTTTAATTTGATCAAATTCCTCTGTATATTTCCAGTCCACATATTTTATAATATTATTTGAACTGCAGTGGGTCTTTGTTTTCCATCCTATACAGTACATCGATATGTGTCTGAGGAATATCTTAAAATATCCACAAACGTCTTTCATTTCATCATATACGATGAATCTGTACATCCTGCCTCTGATTTAATGTCAATCCTCCTTCTAGAGCAATGTGATTTATGGCTGGAAGATTTCATCCTACAAAACGTTTTCTGACTCTCTTCTGACCATCATTAGTTTGCAGATTGGCATTTTTAATTATGATGAGGTGAGTAATCTGCTCAAAATAATAATAGCTTGTAAAACTGTGTCTCGATAGCAATGGTTAAAATGCAATTACAAACAGAGCCACATCAGTAGTCTAACATTATTTCACCTCCAAAAGTAATAGTAATAGATAGTGTGCATAGATAAGGTTTAAATTAATTCCCTTCTCAACTGTTTTATAGGTGTTGGATAGCAACCCCGTGCTCGGTGGATTACTCTTTGGTTCCTGTGCTGTGTTGGTGACATTTGTGTTGCTCAACCTCTTCATTTCAGTGATTCTTGTCGCTCTACAAACAGAGCAATTGCACCATAAGGTAACATAAATCTAATTGTATGGTTTCAGTGTATATGTTTCAACTTGTATTTAGTTTGTCTCTTCTTAATTCGTCACAAAGAGGGAAATGCATGTCAAACATATCATTTTCAACGTTATTTCGAACAAGCTAGTTTTAAAAAGATGTGGTAGAAAGTACCACATGTAATGTTACAGCTATGAGTTTAGCAGTTTTACATATATGGTCCTTTGAGATTCAAGATTTATTTGTTATTGTGTCATCTTGAGACTCAGAGTTACATGGAAGAGTGTACCGTGTTTGTATTTGACCCCCCCATTTTTAATCATGTCATCCGATAGAGTTGCACTAACATTCCATCATTTGCAAATTGAGCACCACAGCATGCACTGTTTATGAGTGCATGCTCCATAAAACACTCAAGAAGTTGTTGTGTGTGCATACAATATTCATAGTTTTTTGCCTTGCAGTCTCCTTATGACACCTCTATTCGTTTTTGACATTTTCTTCTCGAGGTTTTAAACCACAAAGAGCAAAGAGTTTATGATTTGGAGGGCCCTGACAGATTCACCCAGAGGCATCCAAATCCAGGGAGAAAAGGAGTAAAATAGTATTATGATTTGGATAAATATGTATGTGTGAGTGGGCCACTTAATAAGAATGAAGCAGACGTCTCCACCAGCCCTCAAATGAAGCTGCAGGCTATGAATGACAGGCAGTTGTAAAACTAAATTTATAATTCCTGGAGCATCTTGATAGAAAAAAGCTGGTTACCACACAATAGGAGAGCTGAGGCAGAAAAGTTCTCAAGTAATTTTGTGAGACTTTAAGATTGAAGGTTACCATTTCCGCGGCTGACAGTTAATTTAAAGCAGAGAGAAAGACGGATCATCCAATCAAGTTTAAACGCCAACAAAAGAAGCAATTTTGTTACACTTTACACCTGCAAAGGTCCATATAAAAACGTTTGACTTTTTCTTTTGTTATCAAGAACTATGCTCCCGATTCGGCCTTTAGAACGGAGATCACATTTTACCAGTAACACACACCAGAGACTGGAGACCCAAAACGGGGAAGTGCAATGTGCCAGAGCGGGATTTACCGGGAGGGGTTAAGGCGCTTTACTAATTGCCTGTTTGAAAGTAGCAGTGAGGTTTTAATAAGGTTTACAGGAGCTTACACCAACAGGATGAGTCATTTATTTAATGCATTCAGTCAGCATTGGTCTTGTATTTGTAGTAATAATTCACAATATTTGGCACTGCCTGTAGCCATAAGGGGAACATATTGTTTGTCAGGTTTCTGACAAGGACTCACAATATATAGGTCCCGAAAAACCGCAGCGGCGGATGGAATCAACAGAAAATGTAGTAAGAGTTTAGCTGGTATGAATTTATTTAGAGTAAGCATTTTTTATACATCTACTGTACATATTTACTGTTCCTGCACATTCCCGAGTTGTCATCATCAAACAAAGCTCCGTTTCCTCCTCCAGAGTCGCTTTTGCTGTTGTTGCAGGAATTTATTTCAAGTTAACAAACGGCAAGCCTGGCTGATGGCGGGGAGGTTCTGCAGCTGAATAATATTCCACACTCAGCAGGCGATAAGTCAAGTTTGGCCTCCAGTGGCGGTTTGGGTTTATCTCACGCCCTGTGTGCCCACCGCCCACCCCAAATGATAACTTGAGTGGAATTAAACATTTTCTTCTTGCAGTGCTGTGCTCTCGGATACTTTTTAGTTTAATCTCGTGCACCCGGTGCCCTTTTTCAGATTGCTAGCAGGGCGCTTGCCCACAGTAAAAATGGCCCCTTTAATCTCCAGATCACAGCAGCTAACACTTCAAAATGAGCACAAGAAAAACTTGTTATACAAAGAAAATGGCCAGACTGGGTGAATATTCTCATTTCAGCCATTAGACCATGATCCCTCTTAAAACCAGTGAGCAGTCCTGAGCTTTTGTTACAACCAGCTCGTTACGGGAAAAGGGATGTAACACAAACTGGACATTCTTGGTATTGACAAAAGGGTTATTTATTAACTTAGGGAAATATTTGGGCAAACAACAAAGAAACAGCAATCAAATCCCCCAAAAATGGTAACAAAACAGAACACAAGCTAACTGCGTGATCCAAGGCAGTCGAAACAACTAAACAAAACCAACTAGATTTATTCACAACAGTCAAAATTAAATTCACAGTTCCAAAACAATATCCTCTCAAAGGAGTACAAACACAGGCATGGGAGAGGGGCCACAACAATATGCTCCTCAGTGTCTTTACTCCTGTCTCCTGGCTCTCCTGATTGGTGGAATGGCATCAGCTCGTTAGTTCAGGAACCCTGGGAAATGTAGTCCAGACTCAGGAACTAGAGGAAATCAACCCCTCCTCACAGAATTCGGCCGGGGGCCGTGACACCTTTCATCAGCGTCTTGTCTAGTGGGGGCCCACGACACCTCCAGGAGGCCAGAGGGCGGTCACTGGTGTCCAGAGCCACTCCCCTAATGCCCGCCATCACTGCCCCCCACACCACAACAACTAGGTTTCCTCCCACCAAAGCTGAGGTCAAACCACCTGCACCTGTAAAAGCAGGGGGGGGGGACCCTGGTTTAGGGGGAACAAAAGTATAGTGGGAGCAGGAGAATGTATCCATATATTTCATAAGTTCTGACTTATGATTGACTTGAGGGCTGCTCAGGGCTGTGATGGTTAGTTTGGTCATGTTACAGTAAGAGGTTTCTGGTTTGAATCCCGACTGGGCGCCTTTTTGTGTGGTTTGTGTGTTCTCCCTGTGTATGTGTGGGCTCTCTCTGGGTACAAAATGACTGGATGGAGCATTTAGATGGAACCCCATGTTCAGATCTGACCTTTGACATGCATGGAGGAGCCAATGCTCCATGCACATTTCATTTACTGGTCACCACAAAAAAGTGTATTCCTACAATCCTAACCCAGAGGTAAATTATTATCAGATGTCAGAAATAAAACAAAGTTCAGTACAATAACCTTGATGTAAGGATAGAAAATATTCCTTTGAATCAGTCTTTCGACCACATTCAAAATAAATTCAGAACAGCAATTAGAAGAACCAATTACCACACAGAAAAACGTTCGTGCATGGGTTATACACGGGAGTGCATTCCAACCAGCTGGATTTCTATCCATTTTAATGGATATCGTTTCATTTCGGACAAAGCAGCTTTTAATCCTAATTTTTTATTCTAAGCACAGTCTGTATTGTCTATAATCAAAGGGTGCAGAAACAGGATTTTAAAGGTCTGCCATATTTTTCACAGCATGACTTTTTTAAATTCACAAAAAGGGCACAAAACATCCCCTCCGCTCGATGTAATCATTAACTTTCACTCTCATGGGTTCAGATTTTGGTTTGTCTCATTTCTGAAATGGAAATGACTGAAATCAGTAGTCAAAAGTGCCGTGTGGATCATTTGTACTTAGAGGTCCACAGTGTTAAAAGTAACTTTATTTCTTGTTGGTCAGAAAGTGATCTTTTGTCTTTCCTTCCCCAGCCCTCAGAGGAGGAGGAGACCGTGGACATCATGCTAAAGATTATATGTAATCTCTTTGGAATAAGACATAAAACGGAAAATGTCGCCCCGGGGCCGGATATGAATGGCAGCAGTGATGTGGCCCTTAACAATGCACAAATATGTCCATAACACCTCTTTAGATTAATTTAACTGTTTTAAAAAACATGACAACTAAGCTAACCCTACAGGGTATGGCATAATTAGTCATTTTCATATTTTAATGTTTTCTTGTATGGTAATTAAATCAGAGATTAATTCATTAGAGATCATGGCTCCTGACTTGATTTCTACTTTGAATCAAAACAATCTTTACTGTTTCCTATCTGATCTTCTAAAATGGTCTTTGTGTTGAGCATATCTGATGTACCACAACATTTTTTTGAATAACTATGTTACTGAGCATGCACAAAGATGGAAATAGTTTAGTACATCTGTCATTATATTGGATTAAATTACTCTGCCTAAGCAACCTTAGTCTGGTACAAAATCTTTCTTACATTAATTCCACTATTTAACAACATCAAAATTCAGTTTCTCTTGTGGCTTTTTGTGGTTCTTTTTACTTTCAAGTGTGTATCATTCTTGTATTTTGCATGCACACGAACACACACTCCTCCACTTCTGCACTTATTAAAAAGTTGCTGAGACCTTCTGTGGTTTTAATCAACAGCTTCTGCAGACATGCTTTTTTATGTTGGGCACTATCTTTCAGGAGCTTAGAGATTAACATTACTGTGATTTGGTGTTACATAAATAAAACTGAGTTTTATCTAATAGAATGAAAGGCTGAACAAAGATAGAATTACTGAGCATATCATGATTAGTAGAATTTCATTTATATCATGTAACACACTCACTGAACAATACAACATCATCAAAAAACAAATATTTTGAATATTTAAATACTTACAATGAAGTCCATTATAAATCCAAAATATTTACTAAACCAGCAACACTTACAACTTCCCACTCGAGAGGAAGAATTTCTTAAACTCAACACACCAAAAGGACTATAAAAATATGCAGGTCTTGGCTAATTGTATCGTAATCATTTAGACTCTGTCTGTGATCATAAGTTTGCACAGTATCCATGGACTGATCAATGATACACTCCTTTTCTTTTGTTTGTAATTGCAAGCCACGCAAATCTGCCCCACAGATAAATCCAGATCCCGGTCCCTCAGTCATTATCTTCCGCCTGCATTCGCCTATCTGCTCGTTCTATCTACGAAGAAGAGAGACGCACGGATGACTACGGTACAAATGACAAAAGAATTATGGATGATGAAAGTCAGCATGACTCACAGATGGAAAAACATTCAAAAAAGTTGAGACACTGTGGTAAGATTTACATAGAAAAATGACAAAATAAGAAATTATTGCAAAATAAAAAATAAAAAAACTGACCAGCTAGATAAGATTTTTTCCTACTGAACTGCACTTAGTCTTCTTTTTTTTAAATATTTTTCATGTCATGATGCTTCTAATGTTTCCCGGCAGTGAGGTCCATGCTGTTTTAATGGAGGCTAAATGTTGTTTTTGTACTTTCAGGCCTTGAAAAGAAACGGTTATAATTAAGAATGTAGGTTTCTGTAAAATCAGTTTTGACCTTTCTATTGATGGCATCTTTCTATATGTGCAGGCGGATAGCTCCACGGGCACAAAAGCTCTCCAATTCCATCAGAGATGTTGTCTTTTGAACCACATACTGAGAACATATTTTCACACAGCACAGAGCAGTTTTGCATTCTGATTCAGCCCGTGTTAAATGACCATTTGTTCAGAGGAGATGGCAGTTTTGACTTTCTCTTTACATAAAACACCTGGTAGAAACAAAAAAAACTAAACCAAATGAAAAAACAGACAGAATTCTTATACAATTCAATAATTTCCATTAAAGGATATAATATTCCTTATTATAAGACGAGCGTTCTGAGGTCACAGGAAGCTAAAATTTATAATTTTGCAGCTTGCTGAGATTTTGCCCCTCTACTGTTCCAGTGCTGGTTCAAAGCCAAAGAATCAGTTGAATATTGTAGAAAATCAATATTTTTGTCTGAATCTTTGCTGAGCAAAGAAACTCCTGCTAGAAACCAGGACCCATTGAAATGATGTGAATTTCATTAAAGCTGATGGACTGATTTAGACTGCTTTATTAAGGAAAATGATATCAATGCATCGTGAATATGACTTCATGTTTTAAGAAAAAAACTCTCACGCCGCAGACAAAACCTGAAAGAAATGGTGGCGTTGGATGGAGTGTAAACAGGACAAACAGAGTGAACTGATGACACATGTATAAAAGCTGTATTGTTTCCAGCAGAACCAAGCCCTGCACTTATCTTTAATGCACATGGCTTTCATGTGCTTTAGCTCTGAATGCACATGGCCCGAATACGCCTTTGGATATATAAAAAAAAAAAGGATTTACATTTAAGTTTGTTATCTTTATGGCAGTTGTGGTAAAATCATCTGTATCTGTCCCATCTGCAATATTCCCAGGATGAAATATTGATTTGTTATACATTTATTAACAGCGAGGAGACATTGAAGATAGCAAGAATTGAGGAAGCTGATTATTCAAGATGGCGCAATTATCAGATAATGGGTGCAAAGAGACTGTCAGAGAGACTACTGTTACATAAACTGGCTTCTCCATGGATCATATTAGATTAGCTCTTTTAAATAAATCAAACCAAAATGAGTAATGAGAACAAAGTCAATCAAGGCAACTAACTACTAAATTTGCAGCCTTTTCAAAGTAAATCATGAACAACCACCTGAAAACAGCCTTAGAAGATTATGCAATTAAGACAGAACACTGTTTTGGCTAAATTACACATTTATATTATTATAATTTTTGTGATCACCTGTTGGTTCAACTTGATGCCTTTGTCACCAAAATGAACAACAGTATTATTTCTTTAGCATAAATCAGGTTTTATTAATCCAACAACAGCTAATGGAAACACAGAACACAAATGTTGTAACAACCAGTATTGTAATATGTGTTCCAGCTAAAGTCAGCACCTGTTGGCCATTGTTACCTTTAGTAAGTTATTAGTTTGCAGGATAGTACTCCTGTATTTGGCAAATAGAAGCATCCCTTCGCATTGTGTGCTCTTTGTGTATAAAGCTGGACTACATTTACTTTAGTTGTGTAGACGTTCTGTTTTCTAACATAATGGTTTGCAGTTTTCTGCAGGCTAATAACATGTATGACACAGAAAATCATGTATGTTATTAACAATTATGTTTACAATTTGGTTATATAAGGTCTCCTGAACAAATGGGTAGTTGCTCATGGGCAATGTTGACCATTATGTTATGTTTCTTTGCACAGTCAGCTCCACAGCTGTCCAAAGCACCGTCCTCTTCATCAGTTTGTCTCTGATACTGTTGCTAATTATGTCTCAGATTTAAATCTGTTCTCAAAGAACGAGGACAGCCATACTGCTGGTGGGTACAGTTTTTGTAAGTATCTCTTTCGTCACATTAACCGAGGGGAGTTCATTAATTTAAGGTGTTAGCTTTAGCTTCGCTCTGGTGGTGGACCTCTTGGAAAGTCACTGGAACTGTGGGTTGTCTAAATCTAAAGTAAAGCTGTTCACTGTTATGGCAACCCCAGCATGGATTTATTTCACCATGATTGGTTTTGTGGTTTCTCCCGGAGAAGTTTAAAATAATCTTATAACTTCTATAACACATTGTACTCTCTGCTGTGCCTGAGTGAACCTTACATGTGACAGTTGCAGATATTTCTCTCTCTCTCTCTCTCTCTCGATTTTTTGAAAGACTATATACAGGGTGAAACAGTTCAATGGGAACAAAATTGCACTGTTTACGTGACAAAGTAAATGGTGACAGATTATGCACGGGTAAATTAAAACACTTAATTGGCACATTAAACTAATTTGAGCACTCTGAGGTGAGTCTTTGTACGTTTTTACGCATCACGACTCAAACAGTGGGTATCTTTTTGACATTTTGTTTGTCTTCCTCCATGTAAACATCCTTTTTAGCCGTGCATAGTGTGCATGCAAGCACATTATGGCTATTCTGCAAAAACATGATTGCATGTATGGGGAAAATACGGTATCCCTGATACTCAGGTGTTTAGAAACAAGTTTCTTTCTATTCTGAGTCGCTTTGATTTATAATCTTTAAGACGTTCTAGCCTAAAATAACAGAGATGTTTTTCTAGTAGGAGCAAGAACATGCTATGAAATGGTATCTATGAAAATTTAGCTCAAATCATGATATCGTTAGTGGAAAGAATGTTTAGTTAGATAAAATAGTTGTTTTAACATATCCTTTAAGTTGACAGTTTGTAAATCAAAAAGCAGTTGAGCCATTAATGAAAACATTAAAAATGTATTATCCACTAAAAGACAGGAGAGAAATACACCAGAGAGAATTACAGTCAGATAGTACAGGAAGATAGACACAAATGAGAATCACAGCAAAAATAAAATAATGCTAAATGCATTTAGCATCTTACAGAGGATCCTTTTAAGTGAATATTTTTAAAGCTTCTGCGAGAGCAGGAGAGGCACTAACAAACAGGCATGCATCAGGCACACACAGTTAAGAAGCCACCAAACGCACCCCCCCGCTTCACACTCAGCCCAGTGCTGGCAGAGGGAAAACAGAGGACTTTGTTAAAACACTTTCTTAATTTTCTTAATGTCACATCAATTTTGTTTTTGCGTGGCTTTACTGTGACGTTCACGAGTCATATACAGAGTTAGTACACAAAATAGTGTTTCATTTTAGGAAGTCAGAGATGAGAACGTTATGCACTTTAGAAATGAAAGGATGAGAGGATCAAATATTTCAAGATTAAAGTGAAGTATTTTGGTAGGACTGATTTTATGAAAAATCAAATACAGCTGTACAAGTGCAAGGTAGCCATGTTGGATGTATCCCTTATTAAATTAACGTAAACCCATCAAAAGCATTTAGAATTTAGATTTATCCTTCATTTGAATAAACTGTAAACCGTGTGCTTCAATGTATTAGTTAGAAAAAATATATTAAGAATTATAATGCAATAATTATAAATACTAATCATAATTCTGAAATCTTTCCATGTATTTATTTTTCCATTTTAAATGTCACTGACAAGTCTGTCGATGCTATCTCAGTGTTTAAATACGTGTGGCTCATCTATTTAAGGAGTTGAAATAGAGATTGGCAGGAAAAAAAGAGAGACAAAAGCATAAATAAGACAGGGATTCACATTGTGTGCTACATTTCTGGTTGTTGTATATTGCTCCAATGACCTGACGGAAAACTGGAAAAAGAGAAGCCAAAAAAAAAAAACAGATCTAAAACATCTGGGTTCTTTTCTGCTCTGTAGTTCTGTATTTTTTACTGCTTTTGCTTTTTGGTAAACTGGAGTTTTGATTTTAAGACGGTGCTCACACATGAGGAATTTATTCAAAGTTTACGGCTACTACTGCAGCATTCAGGACCTTCTCTTAATCCAACATTATAATGTGAATTAGCAAACTTCAACTCATGTTTTTTCTGTATTATTATCTAGTATTATGTGTTGAATCTCTACCCAAAGACACCCCAAAACACCAGAGTGGTGATGTTTAGAACATTCATGCCGACTTGAGCACAGCATAAGCTGCATGGAGTGCATGTAAAAACATCACTATTAGCATTTGTTGTCAAGATAATTATTCTTTTGAATCCAAGAAAAGGTTCATTTTGAAACCTCCTGCATTTGAAATGGAAAATATTAAAAGTTTAAAAAGGAATAAGGGTGCACATAAGAAAGGTGGGCCTTGGCCTTTTTTAAAAATCTTTGTGCGTGTATCTGTGAATGACTTACAGTTAAACAAACATCTCAAATGTTTTCCAGCTCCCTTTTGTAACAGTATCAACATATTTTATTCATTATCCTTTTCATATCTCCTGGGTCAACAACTGTCACTTCACAATGAGAATGTCTCCGGTTCAGATCTCTTTTTTTTTTCTTTTGTAGAGTTGTTCTCCTTATGCCAGCATTAGTTTTTTCAGGTACTCTGGCTTCCTCTAACCATCCAAAGGCATGCATGTTAGGTTGATTGTTGATTCTCCATCAGTGCTGTGGTCCTGTGAGCACCGGTCTGCTGTCCTGTTACGAGGGCTCTGAAAGGCTCCAACTCCAAGCAGTGCGAAAAATGAATTAATCACAGTTTCTTTTCAATCGTTTTTCGTTTCCTACAGGATTTGTGACAACTTCTGTGACTTTTCTTGACGGAGGCTGGCTGCTACAGAGTTTCCTCCTCCTCCTCAGCCGTTTGACTCGTGTGCATGACCGGCAGGTTTTCCTTTAGTGAGATATCGTCCACTCGCTTCGGGCCACTGTCCTCCGCCTCCTCGGGGATGGACGGGTCGGAGCTGGTGATCACGTACCCCGGCAGGGTGGCGTGCACGTTGGTGGCGGGGGGACAGGCGCTCCGGTGAGCGCGGCTGGAGGCGAGGATGGTGGAGCGCGAGGAGAAGCCGGCGGCGGCCAGGTGGGACTGGCTGCTGGTGCTGTTGTTGTTCAGACCCACGACCACCGAGCCGTAGCGGTAGCGGCCGCACACCACCGGGCCCTCCCACTCAAAGGCCAGGTTCCACCGGGTCCACGTCTTCTTTATTTCTGTCTGGACCTGTAAAGATGGGAGCGATACATCAGAATCAGAATCAGAAATACTTTAATAAATACTTTAAGGGAAATTATTTCCGTTACAAAATCCAGATATACAACAGCACATACAAATATACATGTCTATACATATATATACAACATTTCACATGAAATATAAATAAATATATACATATGTATATATACAATGCTGGATAACACTGGGTTTTAATGTGAAAATAACCACATAGAGCTTTTTTGCTAATACAAGTCCTCAAATGGAAGAGAAATTCTATCCTCCATTAAATCTTAAAATGTATAGATCGGAACATCTAATATATCTGAATATTTTCTTCAAAGTAATTAAATGTACCCTAAAACAGTAACTGATCCCTGATCTAGTGATCTATGTTTGTTAGGATTTGTGGATTTTTGTACATTGGAGTAGTTATTTGTCTCTTTGCTTCTGTTCTATTTATTCCTTAGAATTAATTTAGTTTGCATTAGTTAAATAATGAATTAAGTTTCTTCTAGTTACCTCTATGGTTTGTTTTTGCTGTGACTTATTGCCATTTGTTGTCTCCCACTCATGAGTTCCTCAGAACGTAATTCAGGTTGAGGTCTGGACTTTGAAAGGACCATTACATCACCATATTGCTTTAAGTTCTTAGCTAAGAATGTAGATATATTTATATCAACCCCTCTAAACAAGTCAACAATTCATGTTCAGGCAGTGGCTCTAGAGCGGTTGACACTCATTCTGTGTTTTCCTATTTGTAAGTCATTATTTGTGGTTATCTTAGTAACCAGCTTCTGCTGTGGCTGTTTCTGTGTGCTGTCGTCTGTTTTTCCTGATAAATGGCATGTAAAAAGTATAATATGCTAACTTACCTCTCCATTGCAAAAACAATATATGATGGACACAAAGAAGCCCTGAAAAGAAGAAATTCAGACAAATCATCAGATTATTGACCTATAGAAGTGTACAAATAACTCTAAAATGTCTACTTTCAGAGTATTACTGAAGGTAAGGGTTAAGGTAGTACAGTAGAGTATCCAGGAAAGGAATATGTCAATATATCATTGTTTGTAGCAATGCATTAGAAAATGGCACAATTATTCTTATTTTTCAATATTTGTGACTGGAAGTACTCCATAAATGTGTGGTTATGTCATGAAAAGATCAGATACAGACAAATAAAGTCAGATTTGGTTGTCATAAACCCAAAGAGGTTGAGTTGAGTACTGTTATTTTTACCCGCTTCTTTTTCTATTAAATTACCGATAAATACTCAAGCTAATTACATTGGATAGACAACACACTAGCATTACATTTTGGAACATGTGTCTATGTCATAAAACTCAGTTTAGTGGAATAAATTTACCAAAGAAATGCACCGAAATGGTACCTACAAAGTAAACAGGAAGTCACAGTGAATCATGCTCACCTTCACTGTGCTTTATGAGTACATCTATTTTCTAACCCAGACTAATAGAAACAACACTGAGTGGGTTTTCTCTCAAACTTACTCAAACCTACAGATTTTCATTCTAAGGTAGTTTTTACTGGGCTAATTTCAAGCTCAATACCTTAATTCTCAGGCCCAATTAGACTTGGGCAGTATGAGTCACAGTTAAATCTTTATGTAACCTGTACAGGCTCTTGATGGAGCTTCATAGTTTGTCAAATGGACAAAATTAGAATAATTTTGTATCACGACTTGATGGGATTACAATTTTTCTGTCAATGGAAGTCAAACTAGTGGCTTTTTATGCAGTCCAGTCTCTAAGCAACATATGAAATATGGATTGTGAACATGTATAATTTGCAGGACAATCAGAAATGACCTAAAAAATGATGCATTTGATTTTGTTTTTGTTTTTTTGTGTTTGCAGCCGGTTGTATTTTTGGCCAAGTTGGTGTGACTTGACAGCTAGGTATGTCTGTAGTCACAAATGCAGGAGGAGAAAACTTAATATATAGTCTGTATGGATTTGAATGCCTTAATAGATAGCAAGAAAGAGTAAGGAAACAGCAGGCGTATGCAAACATGACACTGGCCAGTAGAGTGGAGTTTGTCAGCTGTAAAACGTGATGGCAGGTTCAGTGCACAACAATCTCATTAAACACTGTGGAACTTGTGAACGCTGTGTTAGGGGCGTGAAGTCATTTTCGCATAAGTAGCTGAATAATTTTTTTAAACTGTGAAGCTGTGGGGGCATCGGAAGGAAGAATGCTTACTATTTATTATAAGCTATGTTGAAAAAGCATCCAAGAGCAAGTTTTTTTTTTTTTTTTGCTACCAGAATAATCCAGAAGTGTCTGACTTTGAGTGTATTTTCATTATATGTTCATTATTCATTTTCTATATGAAATATCTATCGACCCGGTTGGGGAGAAGTGGTACAGAAAATGGATGGATGGATGTAAACGCCTATGTTACAAGGAAATAAAAACTTCAAATTCAACCAGCATTAGAAATAAAACTGTGGAACATGATGTGATCCTTTTGATGTAGCTTTAAATTGCTCAATGATTTTCAGGAGTTTGAGTGTGAAGTTTCTCTAATGTGTCAGTATCCAAGACACCTGTTGATTAATGTAGCAAGAGGAGAAAAATTAATCAAATAGATTAGTCTGATGTTCAGGTAATAATAGCCATGTGGAACATTATGTTACAGCAGAAAACCAGCACAGCCCAGAGGGAACAGATGTCTGGAGTCTCCAGACTCAGAAAACTAACCACACTTTTGGCAGACTACTTAACTGTTAAGAATTCAAGGAAAAATCTCTTACTAATAAACCTGATATCTGAGTATGTTATTAGGAAAAATTGAATAAATGCATTCTCCTTATATTCATCCTTTCAGAGCAACACTGTGCAGCAGGACTGGCTTAATCTGGTTATCAAAGATAAGCACAGAGCGTGTTGAAGAAATAAGCTCAGAGCAGGACATTTCAGTACAACACAATTTTTGTGCTGTGCTAAGGAGTAATTGTGTCTTTCCTTGCAAAAAAAAAAAAACCTGAAGTACCTGGAATGAATTGAAGAATAGCTCACAGTACATGCGGACCTCCCAGCTAGGTCCCTGCAACGTATGAGGCATCCCAACAAAGATGATGTAGTGGATCCCAAACACAAGCACCAGCACCAGGGTGGACTTGGCCAGTTTCCTGTAACAATAAAAACACACACACAGCATATATTTCTAAATAATTCACGTCACAAGTGCATATGCAGAGTACCAAACAAAGAAAATAAACATTATTTTTCAAGTAGAAGGTTAAATAAGAAATAAAATAACAAACATATATCAATGTAAACTGGAAAACGGGGACTTTTTGAATATTAAATGTACCATTCTACTTTTTTATTATCTTTACTCAATGCAAAAAATATGTTTGGGGAGATAGCCCTATCTATTTTCTTAGTTTTTCATATAACACACAGTAACACAGCACCATCAAAGTGTTCATTCACATAAGCTTTCTTTTAGTCTAATATTTCATATACACACAATCTACAACAAACTGCAGCCCTGGTCACTGAATAGATATATTGTTTGTGGACGGTTTGATACAAACCTGTACTGTTTCCTGGTGTCGTATCTCCCAACGTTTGATTCTCGAATCTTTGTGGCCAACACTCTCACGATATTCACAAACAAAATAAAGTTGAGCTAAAACACAAAAGCAGAGAAGAAAAGGGTCAAATTAGACTGTCAATGTGGAATACCTCAAATTCTAAGGATGATATAATAAGCATTACAAAGCAAACGTTATCTATTTAATTGGGATATGCTTTCACATATATCAAATAACCCAAAAGTTGCTCCAGTAAATCAAAAGTGATCCCACTTTTTCTCATCATGGTTGGCTCAGTGCTGTACTGTTCTCCCATTTGAGGGTTGTTAACCAGAAAATATTGAATGAAACAGTTTGCTGTTAGCTACATTTAATCCCAGTGTAGGCTGAAAGGACAAAAAGCCAAAAACAGCTCAATCATCAGAGCCTCAAGAGTCCGATTGATTTTCCATCAGCATGGTGACATCAATATTGGGATTATCTGTCGCTTTTCAGTGGGATCAACTGATAAAACCTGGCTAATAGACAGAGTATTGGGACTATGTCTGGAGAAACGCAAACTCTTTCAGTGTCTTTAATCGAGGGAAAGCTTTGCCACTTAAAAGCTGACATCTGACTCACACTTTAAACATGTCCTTGTTCACTGACATCATACTTTTCATCTGGACGTCTACACGTTATTCCTTAACTCAATCCAACCTAGAATAGTATTTTTATCTGATTGATTCCAGTTTTAGAAAATAGACAGCACAGCAGCACTTAATGTTCTAACGATTGTATTGATTTTATTGATAATAAACGGCACTGTGCAGCCTCTTTTATCAATCCGTCTAAAACCTTTGACACTGTGGACCACTCCATCCATTCAGACCACGCAGATGGCAGGTTAAAAAAACACAGAACAGAAAGAATTTAGTGTGTGCGGATGGACAGCTAACTCCCAGCTCCGTCAATTTGAAATTAGGTGTGCCACAAGTGTCGGTCCTAGGGTCACTTTAGCTCATAAAAATACAACATTTAATTATTTTGCTGTCACCTATAGTTCTGCTTCCACAAATGTCCAACCTTCATCCAGTTACACCTTGCTTTAAACACATCCAATAAAGTTTTTACTATTTTAACTTTTTTTAAACTCGTACACATCATTGCTTGTGTTGATGGTCTTCTCTTTTAGTCATAGACTCAATCACTGGTGTATTTTAATTTAGAGATTTCAGCCTGCCTACTGACCTACATTAAACAGGCTCCTACAGTCTTCATCTTAGAGCTGAACTGGGGGGAAAAGCCTGTTCAGGTTTGTGGCTCCATGATCCTAAAATGAACGGCAAATACATTTTAAACTCATAGATCTGGTTTCATTGGACTCCTTTAAGAGGATGTTGACCATGTCACGGATTGGACGGTGGTAAAGGGATGGATCCAACTGCAGGACCCAGGGAGGGAAACACAGGGAGCCAGGACCTCAAGAAAACAAATTAATTTAACAAGGACAACAAAAGGCACAGCCACAGCTGGATACAGGACACACAAAACTGGGAAGAAACCAAAAACGAAACCAAGGAACTCAAAGGAAACGAAGACAGGGAAACATGACCAGGAACGGACACGTGGAAATTAAAACGACGTGATGACATGAGGATGTTAATGTGGTTTTGACAAAATGATGCAGACTTAGGAGACACAAACTATAAGTACACATGGAGGGAGGTGGGGAACAGGTGGACACCATCAGGAACCACAGAACACAATCAAAATGGTGACACATGAGGTAGCGCAAGTAACCTGAAATGAGAGGAGAGTAGCTATTTCAAAATAAAACAGGAAATGAAAAGACAAGGCGACTGAAACATGATAACAGAACAATGAAACAAAACAAAAAAAACTCAGGACATGATGGAGCAGTTGAGCAGACCCATCTGGCCGCAGATGTCTTGTCAGATGTACCTGATTTTTATCTCATTTGAACAAAATTTGTTAAATGAAAAAATAGTTTTTAATGTTTTGAAATCTTGTTTTCTATTTTTAATGAATGATCATCTATGATTGTCTAAATTTTATTTAATGTGCTGCTGCCCATCTAGTCCACGGAACTCTTGAAAAAGACATTCTTCATTTCACTAAAGCATTTCAGGGGGAATAAATAAAATGAATATGAGGCTGGTAAAAAGCCCTTCCTCATTACTACATTAATTGTCAGTTATACTATCACCCGGTCAGAAATAAATGCAGCACTTAACTTATCTTCAGTGTTGAATGCAAATGACCTCGTTCCATCTCCTAAAAACATTTCCATGCATTCTCTGAAAGCAATAGAGAGCTTGCACATGTTGATATACTGATACTGTTTAATTTAATTTTGACAGAAAGCACCTATTAAATGCAGGCTTCAGGCCCACCCCTGTTGAAACAACTCTCCTAAAACAGAATCTCCTCAAACAGAAACAAAGAAAATTTGCCGAATGCAACAACTGAATAAGAGCTTGATGCTGAACATCAAGCATGCTGGTCGATACTTTTCCCCTACAGTAAGAAACGTCTCATTTGGCCGCTTTACCAGTTATCTAGATCTGGTGATCACTGGTAACTGGGCCCCTGGTGAGCCCTTTAATTCAATAAATGCAAACATATTGGAGATCTTTCTCCAGTCAGGCAGGAATACCAATACGTTACAGCAAGCAATTCTTCCTTATCGACACTCATGCTGCAAGCTAGAGATAAACACAGCACACATTCTACTATCACGTTTACACCATTTACATTAGTCTTTTTGGAGATCTTCATCTTTATTAATAGCATAATAAATGTGTAACAGTAAGAAACTAAGAGCAGTACATTGCAGTACATTCTTCTCCTGCAAAGAATGAGGACGTTTGGATACTGAGATTTCCATCCAGTGGTGATGGATGTGCAATAATAACCCTGCTACAGTGTTTAAATTAAGTAGTGGAGCTAATAAGATTCAACCCAGATATCATGGAATATGCATCTATGTAGCCATAACACTAAAACTAGGCATTTGCAAGCTAAACATCAAAGAGGAGATCCACCTCACAGCTGGTTCCCAGAACAATGTTGTCAGCAGCACATTTACAGGACATGTGATGCTCTAAATGTGATGGAAATCAGGTCTTCAAGGAATGACCTCGTTTTAAAAATCATACAAAAAAAAGACCTTATTGTAAAAAAAATTGAACGAACTTTGATAGTGTGATTATAAAATTATCGCTGTCCGTTTTCTGATGCGACTTTTGCTAAATCATGACTGTCTCACGTTTTTCATCTGAGGAGCTTTTCTGTATCAGTAAGTAATAATGGTTGAGGCACATGGTCTCATTTTGGATTGCGTGGACTCTGTGTTTTCGGGGGATAATTGGTTGGAGCCAGCGTGGTATTTGTCCTGGTACATAATGTAAATGTTGCCTGTGATTGGAATCTGCGGGACGTTTTCCAGCCACAGCTTGGCGGCAACTTAATTACCCCCGGATGCACTGGCAACTCACCTCATAATTGTTTATTCAATGACTGAGTTAATTCTTAAATAGTTTGCTGATTAATTCAGAGCTTCTGGAAAAGTGGCCCTCGCAGGAGACAGCTCATGACAAAAGATTTCCTTTTCATCATCTATTTCCTCAATTTATCTTGTACCAAATGGCTCCGGAGCTGAGCGGTTCCTCAGCCTCTGAGGGATCTATGCTCTGCTTTACTTGGAGGATAAAAGCGAGAGAGACGGGCTTACTGATTTCCATAATTTGCATTGACAGTTAAAGGTCTTTACTTCATACCATGAAGCTTCTTTGATCGGGAATATGAGGAACATACTGTATGTAAAGAAGATAAGAAATTCTGTTTAGTTCATACAGTTCATCCTTTGGCATGAAGTTTTTTTATCTGTTCTGTTGGCGCTCTGCTTCTATAGAGGGTAGTCTGTGCCTCTCTGCCCCCCCCGGAGACTGCAGATGTCTGACTGCAGTCTCTGTCCTACATTTGCCTATTTAGTAAGGGAAAATGATACTCTTCACGAGTTCTCAAAGTAGTATAAGACCAACATCAGATTCAGCGTTTCTAATTACTTTTCTTCTAACTTTCTTTGTTCTTTTTAGACAATTTCTGCATTCTGAACCAAACCTGGACCTCCATCCTTTCTCAGGGTTAATTGTGCCATCACATTTTATCACATTCAAACAAGCAACAAGTTAGTTTACAAATGTCAGAGCTCTGCCTTGTTTCCAACAGGCTTACATAAACGAAAACTTTTTTCACAGGATCATATTAGCAGATTTACTAAGTCAATTTTATGTGAGAATGGAAGTGAAATCAGCACGGATTCCTGCTCCGTGCATTGCAAGCCGCAGTTTCCAAACACAGCCAGATTTATTTGGAATACGGAGGCTAGAGTGGTGGATAAGGATATTACAGTGAGTAGGTTCTGTTCTCTGCAGATAATGGTGCTTTCATAACCGTGACATACCAAAGCTATTTAAGTCCCTTATTTAAAGTATAAAGATGAATAGGGGAGTATAGTAATTATTCAATATGTGGAGATTATTCTAGCTGTCTGACAGACACATTCCTTGCTATGAGAAAGATCTATAACTATCTACATGTTGGCATGTTTTATGCTTGGGTTCCATGTTCCCCCATTTTTGTATTTGTTTTGTGCTCTTAACTGTTGGGTTTGAATCAGCACTGTTTGTATTTGCTCACCTGTGATTTCTCTTTTTATTTGCAGTTACCCGCATTGCTCCTTTTTTTCTTGTCCTTTTGAGTTCTAGCCTTTCCTCGCTTAACATTTCCTGTTTTTTTGTTCTGTGCTTTTGTTTGTTTATCATTTTGGTTTAAAAGTAACTTTCCACAGCCTTTCTTGACTGATGATATTTCACTTAAAACCAGGACAGAAAAATACTGGATTAAAAAAAAATAATTAAGAAATACTGTTTCACATCAGCAAAATTAACGTATCTTTACAAATTCAACATTATATGAGCCCTGCATGGAGTGGATAGTGAAAGAATGTAATGTGAGGAGAAACACATTGTTCTTATATCTATTAGGGCAGTTTACACTGATACATGATAACTTTTGTTGTCGTAGTGTGTCTGCCCCTTTTTAACTTTGAGTTAGTTTCAGTTCTTTTTTTCCTCACAAATAGAGCCCTATTTCTGTCTGAAGTACAAGCATGTCAACTACAGGGTAGTCAGAATAGTTACACTGTTACATTACAAAAAGAAATCTACATAGATCCTTTTTTTAAAAGGTCTGTTCAATAAAGAAGGGTTAAAATACCCAGTGTCTGGATGATCTGGTTTGACAGGATGATCCCAAAAAATAAGACTCCCCACATTACAACACTGGTAATTGATTATCTAAGTTGACTATTTAATTAATGTTACACCTAAAATCTTGCTTGGGATGCAAAACTATTTTCTGAAAGAAATTATTTTGAAGAAAGAAAAACATTTCAGTGATAGATGCTAATCTAAAGAGGAAAATATGGTAATTCTGACCATGTTCATTTTCTGCTTATTCGTGTCTGATCCTTTTAAAATATATTTGACATTTTTTCGAAAACTTTTCAAATAGGATTCACAGCCAAAAGCAAACTCACACTTCTCCTCCTCTTACCCCGATTGCTGTCAAGATGGGCACCTGGTAGATCCATTTTATGTCACCAGCACTTAACTCCCAGCACCTGCATTGGTACAAATGTAGAGTAAAAAAGAAAATTAAACTGAAATAGCAGGAAAAAAATGAAGAATATGCCAGTAAAGAACAGTTCCGTTAACATCAATTAAAAAACCCATCCATGTTGGAAGGTGTATGTTATAGTGATGTATGCTATATTTCACAGTCACACAGTTATTGGTGTTCTCTTCTTTCCTTTTGCTGTGAGCTTTCCCAATTTGACTCCATGTTTTAATTCAACTCATTTCCCAAAAGATTTGATCTATATATATTACATATTTGAATGATTTTCCAGTTAAAAGACATGGAGGGACTGACTATTTTTCTCCTCTTCATAATTGTGGAATTATCTTAATCAACTGCTGTTGCTTTATTCTCAAAGCAAACTAGGTGATTGTGCTTCTGTTGTGTTAAATGCATGTTGTCATCAGTAAGAATCCAGTTAAAAATAAATTGTGGATTAAATGTCACCTCAGTTAAGAGTTAATCATGCTGTCTCTCTACAGGTCTTCTCCGACTTATCTTTTTGCATTTATTTAAATTTTTTGTTATTTCAAAACATTTTTGTAAAAATATTTTTCAAACTCTAGGTTACTTTTATAGTTGATGATGATGATGATGATGATGATGATGAGAGTCCCTCTCTTACCTTGAATCTGCCAGTGTTGCCCGAACAATTGCCCAGATTGCCACAAAAATGGCCGGAACTCCTGAAATGACACATAACAAAGATCCATGTTCTGATCACACACACTACCACCAATTGCAAACAGTTGAGACATTGTGTTTTGTTTTTTTTATCCACAAAATCGATACTGTGGGAAAGCCAACTGTCAGCTAAAGCATGTCTTTCCTGCACGCAGATCCTGGGTGGAAGAGGGCTCATCATTCTGTGGTGAATATGTCTGCCATTTTAAACTGGAAAGTAAGATTTTGATGAGCAGTTCGCTGACGGCCCATCTTTTCGCAGACTTTCTCTCCTCTGATGAGCAGAGCGTCCCCAGTGTGTCGCGAACTGAACCTGATGACTGGCAGTTCTGCAGTGAGTTTGTTTCCAGTCGTGCAATGCGCCTTTTTGTGAGGACACATTCTGTCGAGAACATGTTCCCCGCGATGAACTTTAATAAAAGCAAATGCGAGGTCAACCCCTCGGAAAGCTCCCTGGTGCAGCTTAATTCAGAGTTTGAACTGTAACATCCATTAGGGTTAATGGGGATCAGCTGTGTGAGCAGAAGAGCTGCCAAGAATCTGGCAGCAAATAAAGCAAAAGGGGCTCATTTGTTTGTTGAGTGCTATGTTCTAATATTGTGAAGAAGTAAAGGAACATTTGCAGATATTGTTAAAAATGCATATTCAAATATATGCCAACATGAACACAAGTGCTGTTCAGTGTGTTAGTGAGAGTGAATTATGTATTCTGGGACTTCATTTATTAGTTAATTGCAAGTATTTGTGTTCCCTTTGAAAGGTGTCCAAATATACACCTGTGTTTTTTTAAATTGTATTTAATTTGTTATTTTGTTTTTATCTCAGGATTTAATTTGTGTGAGCAGAGTAGCTATGACGTGTCTTGCAAGAGCTAAAGTGCACATGTATTCAGGTATTTCTTTTTTTTAGATTATTTTGAAGCTTTCAAAGGATTCAAAGGCTTTAAAAGAAACATTTTAATTGTTTAAAGCACTGAGTGGTCCTTTTCAACCTTGACCCCGAAAAAAAGAGTGAAAACTTTTCTCAGAAGCGTCCTGACCCAGGGCAGGCTGAATGCCCTGACCATGCTCTCCCTGGAAGAGAGACCTGTTTGGGAAATGAGAGATTTTCGATGCAAGCCTGAAGGAGAGTAGAACTAAATCTATGCTCAAGTAGAGTTGAATCCCCAAACCTCCCCTCCGTACTTTTTTAGCAGCCGCTGAGTGCAGAAGTGCTGCTTCTCTCTGACTTTCCTGCTCCATCAGTTTCAACCTGCTCCATAATCCTGTTAGCCCTCTATCTGAGCCTCTGCCTGCCTTCATACCTCAAGCTCCAGCCACTTCATTTCAGGGATTGTTCCTGTTACCATGGTGACGCGCCATTAGAGATATAAAAAAAAGAAAATGCTACAGTTACCAGGAGAAGTCTCAGCGAGGAGCACAGGAATCTGTGTTTGCACCCCAAAAAAATGTCAGCAAAACATTTTCTAAAAGAGCATTTATATTTTTTCTATCCCAAAGTGAGACCTGCCATTGATACAGTTACACTATCATGTCAGTGACCACACAAATGTCACTTGATCAAAACGGCAAAAAGGCTGTAGTAGTGGGCTAATAAGTTTGAAAAATAAAGTGACAGTACAATTTGGAGCTTTTTGTTGTGAGATTACATTTAAATGGAACTGGAACAGAAAATATATATATATATAGCGGTCTGGAAGACAGAATGAAGAACGGCCAGTGGAGCTCTGCTGTGGTCACACTTCATTAAAATATGGAATTATGAAATACAGTCACAGTCTCATCATCAGCACTAACGGTGATTCGTGCTGAAATTAATTTAGGTCTCTGGAATATTCAGCTCCATAAGCAGAAGTACAAGTGGAAAAGATAAGTTTGGGATGAGATAAAGTTTCTCTCAGGCATGTGCCATTTTACTTCAGAATTGGCACCTTCATTACAGTTAATATAAGCATTACCTTACAGCTCAGTGGAATTAAAAGAGTCAACTTTAATTACAATATAATCCTGCTAACTGGAGATGATACGTTTGATTTGTAAAACTTATGGGCAGCTCTGTGGAATAATCAGGGGTTTGCAGAGCCTCATGGCAGTGTGAGCTAAGAGCAAAGTGCACTTATCAGTTGTTACTGAGAAAAGCTAATATCACTGGAAAGCTACTATCTTATGAATTAATTCATGAATAGTTAATGTGAATATGTATTCTTTTTACCCTTTATTGAGGCAAACAAAGGTTTCCGTACGAACAAGGAAGCATGGAGAAGTAATGAAAGAAAATGAGAGTAGACTCCTCTTTCAACATAAAAATATTTAACATACTTACTGTAAATGATAAGAATGATGTTCTGATAATTAAGTTTAGTGGCTTCTATTGACATGAAACCTTTCAGATTCATTATGATACTTGTCCTCCCCCAAAATATTTGCCTCCTGTCCAGTTTCTCAACAAAGACAAGGATGCTTTAAAAATGTCAAATTAACCAACGTACATGTCAGTTTTCTAAAGAACAGCATCCCGCTTTAAATTTGAGATACGCAAAGATCATTACAGGGCACGGTTTGATAGTTAAATGGGTCAGGAGTGGCTCAGTCACATGTTTTTTGCACTTTTAACCCCAAAGTTCATTCTGTGCAAACAGTATGTCTAAATACCACTTCTAAAGATTAGTTTTATAACAATACAGTATATGAAGAGCGTATGAGACAGTTATTGGGCGTACCCATTTTTGTAAGTTTAACTACTCATTTTTGTAAGTTTAACTAACTTAAACTATCAAGTTTTACTTTAGGCCACAGTGCTGCCCTGTTGTGATTGGCTCTCAAGTCTGTGCTTGTCCGTAATTAATAGAGAAAGTTGCCTATTTTCTAATTTACATGGAACAATTTAAGGTATTTGCAGTTTGCATGTTCCTTGGACAAGCCTGCACTTAACTGTTTTTAGCAATTTTGGATGCTTTTAAAAATACATTTGTATGCTGTAAAGAGGACAGCATTTCTGCCTGAATGAGGTGAGTTGTTTTCTTTGTTCAAATATTAGAAACTGCTGGAACATATCTAGTTGGAAACGAATGTGTGTAAATTTGAGGTTGAGTAATAGGTAAATTCTGACTACTTCAGCATACTTCCAGCTAAAAACACCATTCGACTTTTTTGTATTTTTTGCTCCTTCTGCCTTCTGCTTATGGAGCTAATACAGTAAATGTCACGTTTCAGAAAAATCTTCAGACTCCTTCAGCTCACTTCCACATTCCTCAGCTTTCATATACAAACTATACCTTAAAACGTAGATAAACCTTTCAGCTAATATAACTGTGTTGGTTATTGAAAAGATAATTTATCTTTAATCCTGGATACATTTTTAATTGATCATGGCCCACAAAAAAATTATTGAAAACCTGCTGCCGACCAAACATTCACCACCAAACTTTGGCCTCTTGCTTTTCTAACTTTGTTAAACAGTGAAGTCAGTAAACACATTAACAGAACATGATCATCATAAATCATATTTTAACAATTGTATGTAATGATGTGCATAAAAGGGAATTTCAACAGAAGATTTTTTCAAAAATATACCATGCAATTGACAATAGTTTTAGAGAGTATTTATTTGAAAAAAATTAACAGAAGGTGGATGCAAGTCAAGGACAAAAGAAAACATTAACAACAGGAATGTAAATCAAAAAATGATTTATTACCAAAGTTTTTCGCCAAACTTAAAGCCACGTTTTGGCTGAGTCTCCAAAAGTTCTGGAAAGAATGTTCTAGAACCTCATGGCTGTTCCAGATTCTGATGGAATTCTTTAACCGGAAGTTGGTCTATATTTATCAAAATACCTATCCGGTGTTGTCTTTTATTACATTTTGAAAGGGTAAGGTTATTTTACTTCCTTCCAGGAGTAAGAACTCCACTTTCAGAATAATAAGAACTGTGACAGTACTTGTGGCTTCATACTCCTGGAGGACAGACTTAATGTGACAGGAGGAAGCACAGTGCCACACTCTGAATACATTTATCAAAAGAGGTTTCTATCTTCATCTGGGGGCTGAAACCGACCCAGTTACCACATTTCTATGACAGAAATAGGCATTTCAGGAAGATATTACAGATAAAACAATGATAAGTAAAATGTGACCTATCCAATTTCAAATCAATTTTATTTATATAGCGCCACATCACAACAACAGTCATCTTACAGCGCTTTCAAAACAGAGCAGGTCAGACCCTACTCTGAAGTTGATTACAGAAATCCAACAATTCCCACCATGAGCAAGCACTAGGCGACACAGGCAAGGAAAAACTTCCTTTTAACAGGCAGAAACCTCGAGCAGAACCATGGCTCAGGGTGGGCGGCCATCTGCCTTGGCCGGTTGGGGGTGAGGGAAAGAGAGGGCAAGAGAGAGAGAGAGAGAGAGAGAGAGAGAGAGAGAGAGGGCGAGAGAAGGACAGATGGAGCAGAGAGAGGCAGCCAACACAGTAACACACAGAATGGATGAAAAATGGCAATGATATTAATACTAAAGATAATGGTAGGAGTTATGACAGCAATAACACTATGCAGAGTAGTAGCAGAGCAGGAACACGGGGGCAGCAGGAAACTCCCAACCACAGATCCAGACTCCACAGCTCTAGGAACTCTAGTTTCTAGATGAGGTCAGACTTGCTCGGGTCCTCTTGGTTTACTTAAAAAGTTGGACAAAGCGTTTCTTAATGGATTTCCTCTTTGGTTTCTTTTCTGATATGTTCTTCATATGTAGTTCCACATCTTGAATTCTCTCCATTAGTCTTTCTGTGCCCTGCTTTCTCTCATCTTCCTTTTGCGCAATGGTCTCCTTCATAGTTGACAGAGACTTCAGGAGGCCGGACTTCTCTTCCTGCCACTGCTGCCTCTCTTTTTCCAGAATCTTCTGTGTCTCAGTCAGGGCTTCTTTCATGGCGGTCGCTGCTTTGCTCTGTTCCTCCAGAAGACTGGTCTTCTGCTGCTCCCACTGATGTTTCTCTTCCTGAGAATCCTTTTGAATTTGAGTAAGAGTGGCCTTTATTTTGGATTTTTCCTCCTTCTCCTGATGGAAGCTTCTCTGAGCTTCCACGGCTCGACGCTTCTCAGCTGCCAGAGCCGTTTCCAGGTGGTGGATTTTCTCGGTGGAGACCTTGTGAAGCTTCTCCTTCTTCTGTAGTTCTAGATGGAGGGAGGCCATGTCCTTTTCTCTTTTAGCTTTCTGATCTTTCAAGTTGTTCTTCAGCTGCTCGACCTCTTTTTTCAGAGCGGTGTGTTTGGCGATCACGTTTCTTTGCTGGTTTTTCAGCTCACTCTGTGTTTTTACTAGCTCAGCCTTAGTTTTAATGTTTTCGGCCACTAACTGAGCCATGGAGCTCTCCTTCTCCTGATGGAAGCTTCTCTGAGCTTCGACTGCTAGACGCTTCTCAGCTTCCAGAGCCGATTCCAGATGTTGGAGCTCACTGTGTAATTGTGTCAGTTTGCCCTTCATTTTGGCGTTTTCGGCCACTAACTGAGCAACAGATTTCTTGTTCTCCTGGTCCAAACTGCTCTGAGCTTCCCCTGCTCGACGCCTCTCAGCTTCCAGAGCAGTTTCCAGGTGGTGGATTTTGTCGGTGGCACCCTTGTGAAGCTTTTCCTTCTTTTGAAGTTCCTGGCGGAGGAGGGATATTTCCTTTTCTTTCACAGCTTTCTGATGGTTTAACTTGTTGCAAAGCTCCTCAACCTCATTACTCAGAGCTGTGTGTTCATCGAGGACGTCCCACTGCCTGCTTTTCAGCTCACTCCGTATCAGTGTCAGTTGGTCCTTGGTTTTGCTGTTTTCGGCCACTAACTGAGCCACGGAGCTCTGCGCTTCCTTGGTCTTCAACCTCTCATTCTTGACCTCCTCTTGCAGCTGGCTCTCCTTTTGGGAGGCGTTGTGTAGCAGGCCATTAAGCCTCCTGATTTCATCCAGCAAAGAGGCGTCGTGGTTTTGGGGTGTTGAGATCTTTTCATCCTTCTCATGCAAAGTTTTATGAAAATCATGCTCGGAGATCATGATCAAAACTTTGTCCATCGTCTGGTTCTCCTGTGCACCTTGCTGAGCAGTTGGTACCTTTGGTTGCAGAAGTTTTAAAATGGGATGAGGCTCTGTGGTGGGGGGAGGATTTGAAACAGAAGCTGGTGTTTCAGGGGCTGGAGCTGATGGGACAGAGTCCTCTACAGCAGCAGGAACCTGGGTTCCAGCATGGAAGTCCGGGGTGGCCGTCTGACTGGAGCTTTCTGAAGGCTCAAGCCTTTCCTGGGCTCCACGACATTCAGTTGCCGTTGGTTTCTTTGGTGCCACAGCAGGAATTGCGACTGGCTGCGAGGATCCACCGGCTCTCACCTGCTGAGCGGAAGTTGCCAGTTGGTCGTCTCTGACCGGCTGAGCAGCCTCCACCATCCCAGCAGAGTTGTTCATAATCAGACCAAAAGTAAAGGTGACGGGATTCTTGAGCTTTTTGGACTTCTTTTTCTTCCCTTTCTCCGTGTTGGTCTTCTGATTGAGCTGTCTGAGTTGGTCAGGCTGCTCCCTGTGAAGAGAGGGAAAATGTTCCTCATCCATGACCATGGTGAAAGCAGGTTCACCGTCCTCAGAAAATGCGCAAGCCTGGTTTTGGACTTCTTCAACCGGAGACGCTTGCAGCTCAGCTGGTTCCTGGTTGTTCTGAGGCAAACCAGCGTTTGTGAATTCAAACTGAACTTTTTTCCAAGCTGACTTTGCAGCTGGACGTCTCTGAGCTGAGACTTGATCCTCCTCAGTGCGATTGTCAGCACTTGGGGAAACTTTTTCAGGTTGTCTCCTGGACGTGTTAGTGGGTTTTCCGGTAGATTCCATCGTGTAAGGATAGATTTCTACAATGATTTCTCAAAGTGGATGTGAAAGTGATACGTGATAAGAGGTGCGTTTGCTCTCTGGTGAGTTCGCTCTGTGGTGAGTTCGCTCTCTGGTGAGTTCGATCTCTGCGGAATTCTCAGTTGAAGGGTTCTATATACCATAGCCGATGATGTCATAAAGATGTCATGAATGATGTCATGAATGATGTAAAAGGAAAGACTCCGCCCCCATTTTCAGAAAATTTTCCATGATGTCACACAACAGGAGACCTACTTGAAGTTGCCTAGCAACGCACCCAGGCTTATTTGCTCAGGTACGAGAATGCTTTAAGACACCAGGGGTCTTGGGACATTCTCACATTTGTGAAGCTCTTCCACCATTTTTTTAATCCATACATTTTTTTTTCTTTTCTGCACTTTAACATAATTCAGCCATTTTCAATGAGTAAGGCGTCAAACTGTTGAGACTGTTCAGACACAGCAGTTATCTTTTGACTTTTAACTTACTTCACTTATCATGATTTATTTGTTGCCCTCATTGAAATAAATAGAGAAACCTTCAAATCCTTAAAATAACTTTGACCTCTCTCAGTTCTAACTACTTCAGCCTACTTCCAGCTAGAAACACCATCCATCCATCCATTGTCATTACCTCTTATTCCCTAATGGGGTCGCGAGGAGAACTGGAGCCTATCCCAGTGGTCAATGGGCGAGAGGCAGGGTCACCCTGGACGGTCCCCAGTCCATCACAGGGACACACAGAGACACACAAGGACCAACAACCACGCACACTCACATTCACTCCTAATTTGGAATGTCCAACCAACCTAACATGCAGGTTTTTGGATGGTGGGAGGAAGCCGGAGAACCCAGAGAGAACCAACAGACACAGGAGAACATGCAAACCTAGAAACACCATTCAAGCTTAAATACATTTGATGATCATATATGTAATAAACAGATGTGACTCTTTATAATAATATAATGTTAGAATGCTCACAGATGTTAAAATGAATCAATCGTGTTTATAACATTTTTGACTTTCTGTCTGTAAATAAAACCTGTCATGTTTTAATTATTAAAGGTTTGGACAGCACCGAAGTCACCGAGGAGCTCTTTCCTCATGTCAGGCTGTAGATGAGTAGTAGATTATGTTTTCTAAAGGAGGTTAAGAGTTCCCATCAGGAACTATTGTCTCAGCTGTGTCCTGTGGGGTCTTCTAAATAACTGTCTTAAGAATTTGAAAATAAAATAATCTTTGCCTTCAGAACAGGTGAATGATACTCTTTAAATGGCTCTTTATTACGGTCAATCATACTGTAGCTTGGTAGGAAAACTGTTGCTGTTTAAAGCGAAAGTATTAAGAATTAAGCAGCTTTATGCAAAAGATGACATCAAGCCATTCGTAAAAATGGCTTTGGCAGCTTGGTGTATGAGGTAATGCCAGTGTGAGGGTGAAAGTTATCAGAGAGGAGAAACATTGGATTTTAAAATGAGTTTTTCACAACAAAGTATTGGCTAGTGTGACGGCATGTCTCGATAAGTGGAAATAAGTTGTTTTTTCAGCAAACAAAGCCCTGCAAGCCCTGAACCAATTGAAGGGAGCTAAAACTTAAACAGCAACAGCCTCGAAACCTGAGCGATCTGAGGTCTCATCCATCAGATCTGCATGATCCACCGTCCAGGCAAAGGTTGGGATCTGAATGAAAAATGTGCGGTGATCCATGCAGGTGCTGGTTTTGGAGACGGAGGAAACTGGAGCCACACTGCACTGTGATTCCTCTCAGACATGTAACTGAACTCCATATCAGACTTTAATCACCATCACATCCCTCTCTAATGACCACCAGGGTGATGTGTACCATAGATTAAGCCCTCTACTGTGGCAGAGTGAAGCATCGACTGTAAACGTTCAAATACCGTGGTTACACAATGCCGTGTGATGGATGCATTATCAGAGACTTTGCAATCGGGGAGAATTAGCAGGCAACGCGTTGCCGAACAGATATCCTGGCCCCTGATTGTCAGCCGGCTCTCACCATCACAAATTAGCTGGAAGGGAGCCATTAATCAACCATGAATAAACTTTCTGCCTGAAGTCACTTTTAGGACCAAACAATTCTGTGAAATGATCCATAGATCTGGGATGAACCGGCCAGAACGGGCCAACATCAATAGGCAGTTTGCAGAAATGTCCAAATGTAATCGGCCCAATTATGTGTAACAACATGTTGCCACTCACCTCTTTTGATTAATCAGAGCACTGTGGCTACAGAACAAGGTATTTGTTCAACTCTCCACTCCACTCTCTCCCCGACACCTGGATCTCTGCCGGGGTAAAACTGCATTTGCTTGCTCTTTTCAATTTGCCGTTTGTTAACCGTGAAACCACAATGATCAGCTGGCTCATTTGAATGCACACTGACATTCACGAGGAGCTCTGCATCGACCATTTATGGTTAAATGTGGGCGTGCGGAGGGCGGAAAAGGCACAGCTGTGAGGGGAAATTGTGTGCTGGTGTGCATAATCCGTTAGGATTTTTTAAGGTGTGCACCATTTTCAGCTTTTGGGTGTAAACTATTAGTACAGATCCTACTTAATCTTTTATAAATGAGAGCCCCTGTGATTTTTACAGAGATTTTTCAATTTCTTTCTGAGTATAAAGCAATTCAAGACTATTTTTGGTTTTACTGGCCAGGTCTGGGCAGTTCAGTTATGGACAAGAAGTCATCATTGTTGCCCCAGATTTTCTGGTTGTGATATGTTTTTGTGTGTATAGAGTGGTTCAAGACATTTATCCCAGATACTTATTATTTTCTTGGTTGCCAAGACAAACTTTTTTTGCTTCTCGAGATGCTTTTTCAATATTGTAAGCGTGCAATGTATATCAAAGTTTATTTTTACCTGTGACTGCTGTGCTGTTTTTGTCCTTAATTGTTGAAACTTCTTTTCAAGTTTCAAAATGTGTGTTTCCTGTTCTTCCATTTCTGCCCTGTGTTACTTTTTAATGTCTTTGGTATATGATATTTTTCCCATTAAAAAGGCCTCCGGTGTGTCCCATTGTATAAAACTATTAGGAAAAGAAGAGTAGTTTGTTTCACAGAATGGCCCACTCCGATCTCTGGTTTTGGTATTTTCTGTACAGACCCCATAGGAACTAAAAGTCCTTCAGGACAGATGCTTCAGTTATCCAGGAGGGTTTCACAGGAGTGAGAAATGCACTTTTATCACTTACCCCATCCGATAAGTATGAAGCTCCAGAGGTATCTTGAGTCTGACCGAAACGCCATGAAGATGAGACTGTGCAGATAGAGACCTTCCACCAGGATCCAGTAGTAATTGGTGGCCAGGAAATAGATGAAAAGGAGCACTGTCACCTTGCAGCCAATCTGACGGAAAGAAACATAATCATTGATCCAATAATTGTTGTTGCTAATATGCCTGAGTGTTGATATATTTTCTGACCTTCACACACAAAAACTATTGCTAGACCACAAATGCTGCAATTCAGGAAAAAATGACATATTACAGTTTGCCAACATTATTTAAGGAGAACAAAGTTAAAATCCCTATGTGGGACACATTAAAGACAGTGAGGCTGCAAAAACCCAAGAGGCAAATTTTTAGATTCTATAGGTCTTAGATAACAGAGTCCATGATGAAGATCAGGGCAGTACACAGAAAGACTAAACATGTATGTCTCTGTGGTTTTGCCTTTCTGTTCAATTTAATCCATTCTTAGATTCATCTTAAATGTCTGGGAAGTTCTCATCATCAGTATTCTCTAAATGCAATTGAATGTGTGGCTCACGTGGACATTAAATATGACCAAACCTTCATTGCTCTCAAATTTTCCTAATGAGTGTGGAAAACTGTATCGAGGCAAAAACTAAAATACAACATAACACAAACATATTTAGAATAAAGTTACATCAAAAGCAGGAAAACCACAGTATAAAATCTGTCATGGAGCAGTTCTGTTGGAGAATCCATTACACTGAAAAAGACTCCTGACTGTCTCCAATCACTCATCCTCTGCACCTCCGTAAATGCCAAATGTGTTTTCGACTTCTTTTTGCACCTCTGGTATTTTCATATTTTTACCTGTTATTCTTCGGGAGACTTTTTGCTTTTATCATATGCTAATGAAAAATACCCACAACCACAAACAATTTAGTTGTTTATTCCTCTCAGGAGGCATGTTGGCTTTGAATATGGCAATCACGTCTGAGACGAGTTACACCAATTCAACAGTTTCTAAAGCTGCATTAAAATAATCGTTTGTAGAATAAAAAGTGAAAAAAGTATTTCATTTGATAGCGTCACAAATTGGAAATGCTGAATTCAGCTTTTCAATCATGTTTGTGTCTGCTCTTTTTCTCAAACATTTGGTAAAGTAGTCATCTATTTCTCCATCTTCACCAGCTTCTACGAGCTGGATGGGTATTTGTCATGCAACCCTTGTGGTTACTTTGGGAAAACGGTTACAAGAGGGAGGTAACTAGTTTTACCAGAATAAAACTATCGAACACATTTTTAATAACATTTGTAGAATAAATCAGTTGTTGCTGTTTATTAAAATCATCATCAGAGTTGTTCATTAGTTTCAAGAATTTTAATCTCGTGTATTCTAATTGAAAATTATTATAAAGGGGGTAAATAAAATGCTTACAGAACACTAATTAGCAGAGAGTACAGAAACTAAGCAATCCTTACAAGGGTAGCAAAAAGGAGCAATCAATACGTAAATAAATTAATGGATTTGTGTGTTTGGATGCTCCGGATCCTTGAAGAATAGCCTAACGCTTAAGCTGACATCACAAAGCCTAATTAACTCTGTCGTGTAAGACAAGATAGCACCATACTGGAGTTAAATGCCAGCATTAATATTCAGTTCTGGAAGACTGTTACCAGCTAGGGGATATTCGTGTAAAACCGATACATCAAGGAGGAATGTTTTCCCAGACAAGGGCTCTAAAAAGCTTTATTGTGTGAAGTTACAGACGGGGACAGACTTAAGGGATATTGAGCTGAAGCCACATTACCTATTTATATTCCACCATTAGCCACTACAGCAATAAATGTGTTTGTAAAACACAAGGGTACAAAACCAAAGTTCTTATTCTATCCTACAACTGCCTTATGGAGGCAGGCTGCGGCTAATGGGAAGTTTCAGCAGCCTGAGCCAGACAAATGCATCTGAAACGGGCTCTCCTTACTGAGGAAATATTGTTAAAAGCTACTTATAAAACCTTTCTTTGCAGAGTCAGCAAATCCAATCCATGCTGTACATAATTGACCAAAGAAAAGTGTTTTTATTTTAAGGACTGATGTATGATAGAACAAATAATGCCTTGAACCAATAAGCATATACTTACATACTGAGACTTGTCAAGTGACGCCCTGTTTACTGTTTTGTCCAACAGGGCAGAATCAAAGTCTTGCAATCCAGCGCTTGAATACACAACTTTGTCCTTGACAAAGATGCTGACGGCACGCATCATGAAGGAGACAAACAGGTGCATGTGGATGTAGTTCCTGGTGCAGTGAAGACGTCTGTCAGAAGCAAACAAGTGAGGAGTTACAGCTCAATCAGGACAAGGAAATCCAAACAAGCCACATTAGCAAAGCAAAGTTTCTATGAATAACAACTTTAACATAGGATAAACTGGTTTAACTGGTTTATAATAATTGCCTCAAGTTAGCGTTTCTCCAGATTCAGGTATTATACAGTTGTATGTAGTTGAGGGAAATTTTTAAGAAGAGGAGCCAGGCAAAATATGGTATACCACATGGGTTTTCAGCTCTTGTGTGACTTAAAAAGATGTCAGACCTTGACTGGATCCTTGGATTTGATGACTTTATTCCTGATAGTGAAGTCAGAGCTTTATAAAAATTCTGTCCCAACAGAGGTAATGGGTGTTTCTAAGCAGGAGCATCTGTACTTTGTATATTTCAAAAGGAATATTCAAAGACTCAATCCCTAAAAATACTAAGTATATATATCTATGTAGATATATAGATATATATACACAACAAAGGGTGCTTGTATGTCACCTCTGCATTGAGATAAACACTGGATAAACATTTGTGGAGCTCATGGAGAAGATGCTAGCCCGCTTTTGTCTTTGCATAAAAAAGTGCTGATATAGCCGGAGTTTAAACCTTTTGACAGTCAATTAGCCATCCAGAGGAGGAATGTGCGTCTGATGCAAACCCTGCATCAGCCTGTTGTGCTGAAGAAGGAGCTGAGCCAAAAGGCAAAGCTCTTATTTTACTGGCCGATCTACCTAACCACCCTCATCTGTGGTCCTGAGCTCTGGGTAGTGACCGACAGAACGAAATCGTGGATGCAAGCAGTCAAAATGAGCCTATGGATCCTGGGCGAGGGAAGAGGGAAGTCTGGGCTTCCCTACTCCGGGTAAGTGGGAAAAAATCGATGGATGGTGTTTTAATAAATTTTAATAAACTGCTTATTAAACTGTGTTTGATAAGCGGCCGTTCAAAGTAATCAGTCCCACTTTTCTCCTTTATTTTCTCTCAAGGCTTCAAAACCAATGAAGGACCACTTCAAGTAAGTATGTTTGTACACACGGATTCAATGGCAGGGATTCCTAACGGCTTTTGAAGTGTTTACGGGTTCAGGCATCTTCCTAAAAATGCCACGATAAACCATCCAAACCATCTAGAGATAATTAAAGCCGGTTTAAAAATGATGGCCTTTGTTTTTGATAATTATATGTCTCACTCTCACATAAAAACCATTCAGTATTTCATGCTCAAAACCCTTTCAGAAGAACGTTCTCTTTTCATGTCACTTTCCTTTTGAAATGTTTTTCTTAAATATTACATCATGAATAATGTGTCATAGACATGTGGGAAAAACATGACTGACAGCATAACGAGCCACACGGTTTACTCCACAGAACCTGATGACGCTTCACCAGTGTTGTGCGTGAATGCATGAAAATGAATGCAGGCATGAGTGGAGTTTGAATGTTCCATGAATTTTGTAGTGAATGAGGCACTTCCTAACAGCCGAGCATGGAGCGAGCTCAACTCTCGACATTTAAATGTGAATGTGTCATGCTGAATTGTGCGTGCAATTGTTGTGTGCTCCGGTGGAAGCACTCAGATTGTGCACCAGTCATAGAAAAGAGATGCACACATACTTAAGTCAAATTTAGATACATTTTATAGATATATACAACTGCTTTACATTCAGTGCATACATAGTCTTCCACCCTCACTCTCAAAGCAGAACAGGAATTGGGCATTTTGACTAAGTTTTATGTTATCTTTTTTCTATTACCTTTTAGTAGTAATGTCCTACAATTACATATATAGTTGCGTTAATAAAATTCATCCCACAGGTGTTCTGGTAATTGTTTAACAAGGTTAGAGAAGGAAGTGGATTAGTTTTGATGGACTTTTGACACTGACTTAATTCAGAAATTAAACTTATCCAGACAAACATACTAGAAAAAACATTCCAGATATGGTTGTGACCATTAAAAAAAAAAAAAAAAAGAACAAGTTCCCGGAGGCCATGACCATCTGGGGCCCACTGCCCCTTGCTTAAAATCCTGTTTTAAACCTTGCATGGGGGTCTGTTATATGTCTTTGTGATCCACAACACATCGAGAGAAAACTTTTCATGATTAAGAATGTCGTTTTTGAATCAGCAGAGCCTTATATCAACCATTATTTCCCCTATTTGTCCAAGAGAAAGTGTAAGGCATGCTTATAAAGCATGCTATCTGGAACAATGAGATTCGGATAGAGAGAAAGCATGTCTTCTCCCTGGATCAATTCCATTAGCTGCTCCTACACTTCTGTTTTCCTGTGGTCTTATAAAAATATATATGGCATGTTTTGTACAAAAAGTCTTTTGACTTCAGCTTTCTCTTATTATTCTCGTCGAACTATGACTCTTCAGGAGTGGGGAAATGACTATGCCAACTCTTGAGCACAGCCAGGGACAGAATGTTTGGCTAATAGAACATTAGTCTGACACAACCTTGTAACAATATCAGAGTGAATCATGGCCTGAATCTGAACAAGGAGCTCCTCAATAACCTTCACCGCCAAAGCTACATTTGGACGTTTATAGACAGTCAGTCTCTATCCTTTTGTAAACCGATGCACTGACTTGTATGATGCATCTTATTTAGCCGCGTCACCAGTTATCTACGTCTGGGGAGAGCAGTGTGTGGTGTCTAGATTTAAAGAGCGTAGCTTTTAAAAGAATTCAACTGGCAAAGAAACAGATACCAAGGTGGGACTGGTCATGAACTGCCTGGGGGAGAAGACACAATGCTGGATGGTCAGTGCTGGGTGATACCTGCAAACACATTTTTTCTGTTCAGAAACCTAGAAGGTTTTCTTGAATCCTCTCTCAAAGGAGAAAGGCCCCCAGTCCCAAGGGATTCAAACCAGGTGCTAACCACCATGCCGCCCCTGTTTTAGCTGTAAATGAGTTGCAAATGGCAATTTCAGCCATGTAAGTCTGGAATCTCCTGACCTCCCATTAGCTTGTCGACAGGGCAGAATAACATAGAAGATTCACACGGGCAAAAGCTGGGGGACAGGTTTCTGCAAAGCAACATCAAAGCCATTTCAACCAAAACGATTCTCACACTCCTGATCCATCCTACACCCCACTCTCCACCAGCCTTCACACCTGTTTAGTCAACAAATCCCCCCACTCTTCACCAATTATCACTGAGCTCTTTGAAAGATGTGAGACGTTGTCCTAAGTGGGAGACAGGAGATCAGAGAAGAGCTCCTGAACACCAAAACTGAAAGTGAAAACTAAGTTGCAGCCTTTCAAACAGCTCATAAAAGCTATTACTAGATACCACTGTTTGTTTTACTAACCAAAAAGTGTTACGTACAGTAGATGAAAAGCTGTTCTCTAAGAAATTGAAATGACAGGCATCTATATCTACACCTGTCAAAATTATTCTACAATATTCTGGAACTTTGGTAACCTCTTAAACCTTTTAAAATCCGTCTCCAAACTCCAAACAGCTTCTTAGACTTATATTAAAAGTCTTGCTAACATACCTTAGACACACTGAGAAACAAGAATTTCCCGCAAGGGATTAATAAAGTAATTGTGATTCTGATTCTGATGTGCTCATTAAAGTGTGAATGAGTGTTTTATGGCATAAAAAGCATCTGAATTAAATAAAACAATCTTTATGTGAGTGCCTACTGTTTCAGGAGGGTGACCCTGATCCAGCTCTTTTACTTATGCATAGGCACTACAACAACTTTTTTGTATTTTGGCATAATACAAATAGTTATAACAAATTGGATTCTAATGAATTAGACAAAAACTGGATTGAATATGTCTCATTTGAATGTATAAAACGTGTCAAATGTCTATCTGTGATGGACTGGTGTAGCCCACCACTTGGAATAAGCAGTATAGACAATAGATGGATTTTGTTGTGATTCAGCAGTATATAAATAAACTTAATTAAATTATTGTTTATAGACATGCAAGGGACTCATTTTCTGACGATGCATGTTTCTCTACCCACTGCCTTTTTCATGGGATTTTGTGATTTGCTCCAGGTATTACAAAAACAATACAGAAAAGGCGCCGTCCTACCTGAAATATCCAATGATCATGATGGCCACCAGTAGAGAGCTGAAGGACACAGCGTAGCCGGTCGTATACATGATGTACAGCCGCTCAAAGAAGTCTTGCTGTGAACACAGAAAATCATTTGCTATCTAAATTAGTCTTTCTCAGATAGATTAAAAAACTCAAAATGTACAACGGTGTGATTCACAAAGCCGTGTCTCAAGGAGATATCACAAAGGGGAAAGGAATAGTCATACTTGGTGTATTTTAGAAGCTAAAATAGATAAATGTTTTGCAGAAAATGGTAAATGGACTGTACTTATAAAATGCTCCTCTAGATTAGTTGACCACTAAAAGTTCCTTTATACAACGTGCCTTATTCACCTATTCTCTCACACACTCATACAGCAAGTCTTAGTCCACAGATGTTAGAGATGTTCATCTATTTTCCCAGAACAGTTTCAATGGCTGACTTGATCAAGAAGTGAAAAATCAAAATGTGAAATTAATCCAATCTAAAACAAATTCCCCCAAAAGCAGCAGATCCTGGAAGGGAAAAGTCATTCAGCAAATGTGAATGAGGTGATGAGATTTATCATAAGCATGTAGCTTATTATCACACAACCTGTTTGGAATTTGCTTAAGATCTTCTAGAAGGAAACAGACTCTATACGTGGACACTGTCATGAAAACAACGGGAGTAAGTGAACCAAATGTCACATCTGCAAACATGTCTGTTAGAATCAGTCAGCTTCAGCAATCCTTTACAGAAGTTTCCCTCTGTCCACTTTAGCTAAAGAAAAGGAATACACATCATTTAAAAAACACATTTCTGCTAAGATTTGGTCAGCAAGACACACACACATAAGCCACAAAGCTGGAGTGAAGACGGACTAATGCTGAGTCACTATGCAGCTGAATTGCTTTGCAGAGTTGCCAAAAAAATGCTGCAGAATTGGAAGACTCAATCAAACATTTATTAATGAGCTCATTTATTAATGGCTGGTTTTATACCATATGAGACCAGCTCTGTCAGTTAAAGGTCCAGGTCTGGGCATGACATTCCAGGCCTCTGTGTGGACAACAGGGAGCCTCTAGGTGTGCAGAATCTGTCACTGTCCCCTTCCCCTTTCCTACTGACACCCCCCCTCATGAGACTTTGTAACCCATGTGACTCCATTCATTATTTAACATCCAACTATTGTTTCAATCCGGCCACCCTCGCACCAGCTCCAATGCTGATGTGACACAAGTGCTGATGTTACTGTCACCACGCTTTCTTTCTGTTTCCCATACACACACACACACATATACACATACACACACACACACACACACACACACACACGCACACACACTCACTCTGGCACTGATGTAACACAGTGAGTGTTCCCCATTACTTGACTGAATTCTGTGTAGCTCATGTTTTAGTCTAGCTGATGTTTTGTGGTGTAGATGATATTGAGGCTTTATCTTAAGGTCTGACTGGTATACTGTAGGACATGATTTTTTAGGTTTGATTAATTCATTTTATGGCAATTTCTGATTGTGAGGGTTAGCCCTCGTGTTTTTAGGCTTATTGTCTGTTTTGTACGAGCCTAATCTGGACCAGATTGTGTGACCATGGGGGAGATAAGACTGAAAATTAAGCATACAGTTTGACTCTCATCCAACAATTAGGACTGCCAGTGAATTTCACATTATTCGCCGTTTATTTGAGGTGGACAATTTATGGTGGCTGCCATATCACAGAGGCATTCATGAAGGAAGGAAAAACCTGATAACAACAGCATGTGGCTGTGATGCAAGGAAAAGAAAACAGGTGTAAACAAGGGACATGTATATGAGCAGATAGACTTTTATGTATTACAGTTTACATGTAGAATATCAGCCACCTTCCCTGTGTTTTGTCAGCAGTAGATGTCTGGAGCAGTGGATTAGTGTACAAGGCACAGTTACTTTGCACATAAAAACAAAATCCAGTGGACGTAAACTCAATTTATTCAGCTCGGTTTTCATTGAGCTGTTTAAGGGGACGGGTTAGACTCGCATCCAAAGCTCTACATTTACATGTCACCTGAAACACAACTCAAAATGAAAACAGAAACAAAAACAAGCAGCCTGCTGGGTTTGATATTTGCAATATCGGCTTTATATGGTGCATAATAATGTATTAGTTTGGTTTACTGCTTACTGTGGACAACCCACTGTGACCAAAGTATTCCTTCATGCAGCTTTAAACTTAAGGTTGCTATAAAAAAAAGTCTTATTGCCGTGGCTCATCACATGATGATCCATCACCTAGCAGGGACGGATGATTACTCGTCTAGAAAAGCAGACTGTGTGATTACTTATTTCTTGACTTACAACATTTGACTGGATCATAGCTTTCCTCTTTGAGTCATCTGCACTGTGCTGCTGCATGATTAGGGGCCAGTTCCCAGGAACACTCTTTCTGTTTTCTTTATCACACAGTTGCTTTTTGCTTTGTTAAAAGAAAAGAGAAAAAAAAGGGGGACATCTGTACCTATGGTAACCGTGAATTTCTACAATAACTGGTTTCTAAATGTTTTCTTGTCAGATGGGAGGGAAAAACAGATGGCTGCTAATAACCACAATCATATTATGCAAATGTCATCAATATTTGTCATATCGCTTTAAACACTACAAAAAAAGAACTACATTTGCATATATGCATGTATGAATGGGTCAGAAACCTTCTGTATCAGAATCAGAATCAGAAATACTCAAGCTCAGCTGTTAAAGGATCGTGTTGTAAATGTATTTGATTACACAAAGAACATAATCCTTACACAAATGATGGAAAATAGGTTTGCATTTTAATCCAGATTAGTACAAATTGGAACAAACAGATGATAAATTCTACCTACTTTTGCTTCCTCGTCGGTGAAGGGCTGAAGGAAGCGCAAACACTCTGAGTAGTTGGTCCACGTTTTGTTCCAGAGCTCCACAATTACCCAAGAACCATTGGTGTCACATCTCCTGTAGGCATGTCCTGGAAATTAATATGGGCATTAATTCTTACTGTCACAAATTGAAAGATTACCAACAGTTAGTACATGGATGTCTTTCCCTCACTGTGCCAGTAGATATGTCCTACATACACAGGTTCTAATGGAATACAATAACTAGACTTACGAGATACCGAATGGCTTTCATGCTTTAAAAAAAGAGAAAAACTTGACAGAAGAAACCTTAATAAAGAACAGGCATCTTAGCCAAGACTTCTGGGATTCATGCGTAACATTTTAAGAGGCAGATTAAAGTATATCCATACAAATACATTCCTTTGTTAACAGTTTCTTTCAGTATAGTTGTCATTAATGATGATGCTACAAGTTAAAAAAAACAAAAAACTGTTAACCTTTGTGATTGAAATCATAGATGTAAGATGGACAGGGAACCCTTGTAACCTGCCCTGGGGAGCCATGGGGCCAACAAATAAGGCCGTCCCAGTCTGGGGGGCATGCCTCATCTGCAAAAAGAATGAAACACACTCAACACAAACACATGCACTCTTCTGTCCAGGTTAAAATCGATTTAACACATTTAACATTTGCAAAAAAATTTTACACATTTCGCTGAAAATGACACGGATACACCACAAAAGGAAAGAAAAGTGTGTGGTATGAAAAAACAGCAACTGGATAACTGAACTGGCAGCTCACACAAATGGGAAGGCGCCATTTATGCTGAGGTAAGCACATCTAGTGACAAGTATTCCCATCAAGAGGACATCATTTTCCTTTTCTTGCAGAATTCTCTGCCATAAAGCTTTGTCTATTACAACAACAGGGCGAGTCCAGTGAGGAGACCAACAGCTGGACTGGCCTGCCAGCTGTTCACTTTAGTGCCCACGTGGACAACGATTCACCCGGATAGGTCAAAGGTCAAAGGTCAACGTTATAGTCGTGCCACCTGTCATGGTGAGTTGAACCCGTTCGTGAAGAAGAAATTATTAAAATTAACAAAACCAAAAAAAATTCAATCTTGATGTGCTAATTGAAAATATGCAAACTTAAGCTTTTGAACTCTCTGCAATTTTTATTATGGACTTTGTATAGAGAGGAAATGCATTTTTCCCAAAAAACAAAATATCTTACCTGTTCTACAACCAAGGTTTGCAGGAAGCTTATGCTATACTATAACTTCTCCTTATACCATTATTTAAAAGTTGAAACATTATTAATTAATAATAACAACTAAAACAGCAACATAAATCCTCATCATTGTCCTACTCCTCTGACTTCCTTCTACCATCCAAAACATGCATGTTAGCTTAACGGGTGACTGTCAGCTGAACGTGGGAGTGAGTGTGAGTGTGTATGGTCCTGTCTGGCCCTGTGAGAGTGAACTCTGTCATCTTCTTAAACTGGTGACATGATCTTTGATTTTGTGATTTCTTACCATTTAGAGCCCCTTTTTTCTGACATTGGTCAAAAGCCTGCTAACACTTTTGCTACAGCAGCTAAACCAATCTCCAAGTTCAGACTTTCTTGAACCAATATTCATGAAAAAAGCACTGTTGAGTTGTATTGCTGCCACATTGGGGCTATTTATACAACTTTTTCATAAGAAAGAACAGCCACAGGATAAAGCATTTTCAATACTTGGGGATTTAAAACAATAAGGAAATATATAAATATTGATACCACATGCAAAAATACAAATACTGCTCAGTGAAGTGTTTGTTAGCAACATCACGTCATAGCTAGAGGGTTCCTGGTTCGAATCCCGGGTGGAAACCTCTCTAATTGGAGTTCTCCCTGTGAATGAGTTAGTTCTCTCCAGGATGACCAGCTTCCTCCCACCATCCAAAAACATGTTAGGTGAACTGGGGACCCTAAACTGGCCTTAGAAATGAATGTGAGTGTTTGGTTGTGTGTCTCTTCTTCTCTGCATGGCCCTGGGACTGACCTGTGACCTGTCTAGATGTTCCTCACATCTCGCCCAATGAAATCTGAGATAGGCTTCAGGCCCCCCTGACCCTAATTGGCAGGAGTGGGTTTAGAAAGTGGATGGATGCAAACATAGCATTCAGACCAAAAGCGATTCTGAATGGAAACAGGCTAACAGGTGCTCTCCCCTTTGACTTTCCGCCCATGGAATAAAACTTGCCAACTGATTCTAAAGCTGGCAAGTGTACTTTACTTTTCAAGTATACTTTGCACAGTAGAAACTAACAGAAAATAGAAAGGTTATGAGACCACCAACCTAAGCTTTATGCCACACTACTCCTAAGTTAACAGCATTGGCATTACAAGTGTTATTAGTATTTAGAAGCTCTCTACTGTCACCTTTTTAATAGTTTTTACACTAAAATATTGCTAGCAATTCATTTTCCAATATCCCATTTTACAAAAAAAACAACAACCCAGTATTATACAAGAGTAAGAAGTCAAATTCCTGAACAGAAAACATCGTTTTAGTGGTTGAATCTTCTGCTTAATCCATTTCTATCTTCTCAGAGAAGCCCAGTGATTAGGATGACATTCCAGGATAAAAGGCCAATTGTTTGAAATCTTACTTTTTGAAAATGGTCAAATTCAAAGTTCCTAATCTGATGATGGATGGTCTCTGAAACAAAGAAGCAGACACATTGTGTTCTCAGTGTGCTCCGTATGCTTTGGAGGCTATTATAGAGAGCCGTATTTCCAAAATGAAAAAAAAGGGGACAAGAAAGAAGAGACGGCACACACCAGAAGATCAGAGTTTGGGAAAGTCTCCAGGAAGAGCATAATCAGACCACTGATGGAGAAAAGGTCTGTGTGGGATTTCAGGGGTTCAAAGACTGCTCACACAAATGTTTCATCCAAAGCAAGTCCGTGCAAACCGCTGGAAACTGGAACTCACTAACAAGATAAACTCCAGTAGATGGAAACATTCAAAGGGAGAATGAGGTAAACGAGCGAGGACAATATATGATGTCTGACAACAGACTCCAGAGTTTTGATTCAACAAATAGACATCTGTAATATTTGTAGTTTTTACACTAAACTAAACAAGTTTTTGAAATAAAATTATGTTTTCTAGTTGTTCTTGCAGGTGGTCTAAAATATGTGCTCAGAACAATAGAAATCCTTCTACAAGTCTGAAAGAGCAGAAAAAATTAAGGGTACTACTGTTTATTATTTTCATCGTGAATGGGTGGCAGCCTGTCAAAACCTTTTGATAGTTCCATATTCGATTTCTTTTTTTAACATTACCAGAGGAAAGATGGAGGCAGCAGTCTGTGAATGGTGAATTTAAAGTCACCTTCAGTAGTCTTCCCACTTTATATTCTGTGCTAAGTCTTCAGGAACAAGTGGCATTTCATTTGACCGATAGCACATTCTACCCCTCCCGGCTGAGGCTGCAGTAGTAAAAAAAGCCAGTAGAGAAAGATCCTACTGTGACTTCATCATCCCTCATTCACTACTCATAATCTTCTCTACTGTACTAGATAAGTTAATTATCTCCCATTTGTTTTGCACGGAAACTGAGCCCTAATCTGTTTCAGAAGGATTCCATTTATCAGTAAATGTTTCTCCCTTAGTTAAATTTTTTGTCTGAAGAGTACACAAATAGATTCGGTGACATGAAATATGGTGAGTTGTATTGTGTTTTACATGTGAAACAACCTGTACCTTCAGCTCCTGGCTCCATGTTGGAGAGGTTCTGGTAGCACTGCGTTTTGACTTCATACAGGATGTACATCTGCTCCTGAGCTGAGAGAGGACCATCAAACCCCACCTGTGGAGCAGAATGAACCAGATCAGAACCCGTTTCCCAATGTCTGTGAAGTATATGAGTGACTGAACCCACCGGCCAAAACTGAAATGACATTATGAATATGGAGGCATCCGCCATCTGCTCCAAGCAGATGACAGAAAAGAACAAATGTTTTAACAATGTATCTAATATTATCAACTAATTTGCCAATTCTAGGTTTGCTTTTGTCTTTTTCAACAGAGTTTCCACCTCAGAGACTTGTCCAATCACAGTGATGTTATCAGCTAAATTAAATGAACTGCTATTTGATGGTATGTGGTACATTTCAGATTTACAGACAGTCAGGTGCCTTTGGTTCCTGATTTGCATCCTTACTAGATGAGTTAGGACTGAGACCATGTCGGCTATGAATGATTGTCAAAAATCAATTATGTATGTCATAGCTTTTGTTTGCTATAATTAGCCCAAAATGTTTTTCAAATGAAAGGCTATCTAATATTGATTATCTATAAAAGCTGCAGAATGCCCATGCAGAACTTCTCCAGAGATTTTAAACCTCTTCATTGTAACCAGAAGATTATCTCATTTTTAAAATGAAAGAAAACCTTATCTCAGCATCAAAGTGAACACATTTTGCTAATAACTGCTGATAAAGGTTTTGCAATCGTCTCTCTTAACCCTATAATATCATATTTATCATATTTGATTCATACAGATTCTGAAATATTTTGCACCTGAGACCTTTTGCATCATTCAATGGTAAATACTTTGCTCAAAACCCTGTTGTACACAATCAGAGATACCAGTGGATGCCAGATAAACGTGGACCGAAGACTACACAACAACAGTTTGGACTTATCACAGAGTAATAAATGATATGAATTAATTAATTTGTTTTTTTATATTTTGTTAAATGGCCAGATAAGGCTATAAAAGGGTTCATTGCTGCGTTTTGACCCCCTGCTGCTGCAGCCTATCAGGTTCATCCTATTTAAAGGCATCTAGAATTTACTGCTTCATGTTAAAAATAATTTGGATAATTACTTGATCTAACCTAGTAAAATTGTTATCAAGAAAAAAACAAAAAAAACAAAAAAACAATTGTAATAACTTTTACAATGAACTGACTTTTTCATTAATGACCCAGAAATTTATAACACACGCATTGCACCAATGGGAGCCTGTTCTAAAGGATGTCATTTAAAAATTGTGTTTTTATTTGTGATTTATTTAGAGGATTCTGTCAAACATTTAACTTTTCTTTTTCGGATTTTTAATCTGTATCATTTTACACACATTTGAGATGTTTTCAGTTGATATTGCTTTAATTTCTGTAACTCAGAGGAAACTGACAAACTGACAATCTGCTAGACTTTATTTTAACTGATGAAATCTTGGACATTATAATCAAATTCAGATTGACAGATTAATTCCTCCACCAGTTCTGCAAATTTCATTCAATTACCAGACTGAATTTGAAGTTCCAGCTTCTGTATTTGTCTGAAAACCTTTAAGTTATTCCATCAATCCCAATTTATGTCTTTCATGTGGAAAAAAAGACATCATAGGTCTGTGTAATATAACCAGAATGTCAGAATGTGCAGGTTATGTTTACAGAAGTACAACAAAAATCTAACTTTCTAAATATTCTTTAAATGATCTTTCACAAGTGATAGTATTTCTGTCTGTTCAGCCCAAAGTCATAAGCAGTTCCTTTCTATTTTTTCCATCATCATTAGTTTAGCCTAATTTAATCCAAGAAAAAGGCTTTTTGTGCAAGCAGCCACAATGCAAACAGCCTTGCTTTTTTTTTTTAAAGCTTTTCAAAGTCTACAGTGACCAATCTCATGCATGGACTGTCCTCACATCTCTGCTCACCATCTCAACTATATACCAGATCACAACTTGGATCTATTGTTTTTGTTCATTCATCTAACATCTAACAGGACATTCATCCATTTTACCACTCGGTACGAGTCCTCTTAAGACTGACAATAACATTAGATTACCAGAATAGACCATTAAAGGCCAACCTTCTGAATTTGCGAGTCTTTATCTGGAGTCTGCTGTGGATCAGAGTCAGACGGACTCCAGGAGAGGACACACTGCCTTCACACTGCCCACTTTTGCCGTTTCCTCACTGCTGAGTGATTCCCGGCCTGGCCTACCTTTTTAAGAAGAGTCTTACTAGACCTCACCAGGAGGTGCGGGGCCCAGACTCTCCGTAAGTTACCAAACGCTCACATGCTTTTTGTCTTCACTTAAAACTCCCTCTGGGTATGTTTTCATCAGCATCTGTACACCAAATCATGCACATCTATAGCATGCATCTCATGGTTGAGAAATATTCCTTCAGTCAAACATTGATTGACTGTCACCGATTGATTCTGCACACATTTTCAAACTGTTTTTTTACATTGTCAAAAACAGGAGAGCTCTGACTGTTTATGTGAATTATATTTCTCTCAAAAAACACTTTTGTTGAAGTTCTATACAGTTGGTTTAATGTCAGATGAAGTCTGACCTTATCTGCAGATGCAGCCTCTGAATCTTTTTCATTCCTAAATGTGAAGAATTCCTATTGAACCTTCAGAACCAACGAATTACACATTACACACTGTTACATTGTTGAAGTTTGAGTTTGTTGGATGTTGGTGCATTATGAAATGTTGCTTTTTGTCTTTCAATTCCGTAGTTTTAACCCATGGACCATGGCTTAACCTAATGGGTCTCACTCATTTGCTTTTAAACCAACAGTCATTAGTTGAAAGTGAATCATGATGAATTTATTCTTGTCCATTTTTCCAAAAGTGTTACAGTCCATAGAAGTTAATTGTAAGATGGAATCCTAAGCAGCACTTTTCTATGAGCTCTTAATGAGACTTGACTCTAATAGACTAACAATAAATGTCAAAACTTGTAAATTGTCTAATCATTCATTTACGGACATTAGGACATGGCCATGTACACCCGGACCATTTTAAGTGTTAGAACTGTTTTTAAAAACCGATGCAAATCAGAGATCTACGTGATTAGTTCACAAAGATTCAATGATTAGAAACTGTTCTTTTGAACATTTCGGGCTTGGTAATTACAAGTGGGAACCTGAAAATTGGAGGTGATTAAAAAGGACAAGATGTATTATGAAATAATAGGATTGTTTTGACTAATCTAAACCTAGGCTGTGTGGAACATGGTAAGATATATATAACTATAAGTTTTTTCAGAACTGAATCTTAAAATGTGGTGAGCTGTGAGCTAATGCAGATTGTTGTGATATTGGGCTGGTTCAAACAAAACAACGTTATATTAACAGTATGCAAAGCAATGAATCAACTGAGACCGAATCAACAAACCAAACAACGGAACCAACTAATCCCTGACTGTGTCCATACCCAAACTTTTCAGACTAAATGAACCAGCCACTGAAGCAAAATGCTGTTAAACAAGATTTCTGTCAATATGCGGTCACTTTGAAAACCAAACCCAGTTGAAATGATAAACTTAAATGATAAAAAACGTCCACGGTGGGGGAGCCTCTTTGCTTTGTGCTCAGAAAACAGGTTCTTGGTTCAGGCACAACTCAAAGATGACCGGAGACAAACTGGTCAGCTTCTCAGAAAGCCAGCGGGAGTTGCCCATTTCTGTGATTATTTTCTAGAAACTGATCCAATGTTTGTTTTGTTAAATTCATTCCTAATCACTGGAGGGTATTCAGGGTCTGTCAGTCCCTCTGACCGTGTGACGTATTCTGTATTCGGTTTTCCTGAAATTATTATCCTGCCAAGCAAAAAACAAGATAAACAACATGGGCTTTTTCTTGACTATTTCATTCTCCACATTACTTTTAAGCGATCAGCGTCACGAATCACAATGTTGAATTAAGGTCATTCTTTTTGTTTTTAAGGGCCTGTGCTGCTGAAACCAGTTTACATGATTACGTAAAAACAAGATGACTCTTCTGCCCACAAAATAAACCTGGTGACAAGCATGCTGTGGCCTGGAGATCACTCTGAACAGCTCTGACTCTTCCCTGGTCGGTGACTAATAAAGCAGCATGGCATTCAAAATCATTTCATTCTTGACTTTTTTTCTGGCAGCTCATCATTGCCAGCATTTAGTGTATCTGTGGGATATTCTCTCTCCTCGGAGAACCTCTCATTCATACTTTTAAGAGGAAGCACCAGACCACTTTAAATGTTTTATTCAGGCTCTGCAAATGTATCAATGTCACAAAATCGGGGACTCCTTAGACTTCAATCCAGGTGGAAGCTGCTGCTAAATAAAAGAAAGGTTAAGGTGACAGCCCTGAGCGAGTGAATGTTGAGTAGATTTTGAACGTGTCAGCCTTTGGCGTCACAAATGACTGTACAAAATAAATGACTCACAGCCCACAGTTTGGTCCCCGGTGGCCACTCTTCAAACCCTTTTGTGCCTACAGGGCTACTGTATAATCCAGACAAATGGCAGATAAGTGTACAATATAGTGGAACTCTGCACAGAATGAGCTGTTCAGTCAGTCTGAGTCTAAAAAGACAGAAAAATCAACCATTTGTTGCTCTCTTTTCCAGCTGATGATAAACGGTTCTAGCCATTTTTCTGTTATGTCATTATTTTCACATTAACCTAGTTCAAGCTCAGAGGGGGAGCTTTGTTTCCAGAGAGCAGAAATAGGACTAAAAGCTTCTTAGAATATTGACAAGAGAGGCAGGTTTCTTACCTGTGCATTGATCCAGGTCCCATAAAGGGAAAAGTTTAGCATCCAAAAAAGCAAGTTCATGGCTCGTCGGTTCGTTGTCATTCAGTACGCACAGTCCTACTAGGTGTGCCTGGATGCCTGAGGCATTGGAGTCCTTACTAACATCGGTCAATTTCTACCTTAAATCCTCAGTGATGCTGGCAAGTCTTCTGACGAGGAAGGAAACTTTCACCTCAAGTTGTTTCACAATCCCATTACGCAGCGCCAGACATGGTGAAACGGTGAAATCCAGATGTTTTTTCTCCTAACTGCCCCTTTCCTGCGACAAATAAAGGGATGATCAGAGACTAAAACCCCGTTCCAGACCTCATCACCACCTCCTGTGCGGAGGAAGAGTGCACAGCTGCATCCCCGGAGAGCCGCAGCGGGATTCCGGTCCTCTTTACGCGTTCCACTGCGGCCGTGTGTCCGTCCACGCGCACCCCGCGCGGGTCTGGAGTCTGGACATCGACTGAGCGAACGCGCAGCCCGTCTCGTTATCATTTGATCATCGTCTGTCCAATTGTCAGCGGGCTATAATGATTTTTAGTAGAAGGGATTTTCGATTTGTGGCCGTTTAACGAATCTTTAAGAGGAACACTAAACGGAATGAGAATTTGGAAAAGGCACTGAGAGGCAGGACTGTGCGTCCCAGGCTACACCCTGCCCATCACAGGGAGACCCCAACATTAGGAAGCTAAAAGCTAGAGCCTTGACACATTTTAAGCCCCCGTCCATTTCCAAACGTAAGACTACGCTTTTGGACACGTTTCGATTCATACATTAAGTGGAAAACCACAAATTAATCCATATCTCAATTCAGTTTAATTGGATAAGGCATTCCCAATGTGAAACGTGTTAGTGCAGAACAGATAGCTTATGTGTGTAGGTAGATAAGAAAAATAGAGTAAAGGTTGAGCTCATTAGAATTTTTTTTTTTCATTTGACTTCCAGAGGAGAGAAATGTAAGATCCAAAATGCAGAGCCACTCCTCTAGAACACATTTCATATGTGCAGATGCTCTAATCATAGGGTGTGATACCGACTCAATATCTAAAAATACATCTATTCAGGGACTTGGTGTATTATTATTGAACAAATTCAAATAGAAATGGCTGTGCAGACCTTTAGATGTCTTACAAAGAGCGGGTGTGCTGAAGTGGGTGTTTCGGCTCCCTGCTGGGTTCAGATAGCTCTGATTATCTGGGTCACAGAAGTCCCTCCACTGGTTCACCTCTCAACCCCCCAGGCTGCTTTTGTTCTGTCTCTGGGGACGCTGTTCATGATGCTGTGAGGCACTTTCTGATGAATTTAGCTGGAGTCCACGTATCTTCACACGTGGAGAGCTTCCTTTGCTGAGGAGTTTTTAGTCACTCGCTGTGTTGCTTCCTTGTATATTTGTTTGTTTTTGCTGTACTTTATGCACCTTTTCCTCCTTTTGAACTCTAACCGATGTGTGACCAGTGAATTTCTCCACTGTGAGATCAATAAAGCTCTTATCTTATCTTATCTTATCTCATCTCATCTCATCTCATCTCATCTCATCTCATCTTATCTTATCTTATCTTATCTTATCTTATCTTATCTTATCTTATCTTTTGGGTTCACTTGGTGTTGTACAGTTCTCTAGTTTTCATGTGTTTTCTGGGTTTGTGCTCCTGGGGATAATCATTCTTTTGCTATTCTCGGATCCCTTCCCGGGTTTTGCTCTCCTTGTCGTTCTCACTTCTCCTCAGTGTTTTTCCTGTCTGGTCATCTGCTCCGCCTTTCAGCTGTGCTAATTATCTCACCTGCTCGTCATTATTTAAGCCCCCATCCTGTCCACTAAAGCTCTCAGCTCTGCCTCAGCCTCTGTCAGGTGCCCAGTGTCCCTCTGGATTCTGGGTTTTGTATTTTTATAAGTAGAAGTGCTTGGTTCATCATTGATTAAACTCATTTCCTGTTGCCGTATACTGTGAGGTCCTAGCAACAGATTCCAGATGCAAAAGCCATTGGAAGAATTTACTGCATCCCTTTATCCCTTCCCAAGGGATCAATAAAGTACTGTCTAAGTCTAAGTCTAAGTCTAAGTCTAAGTCTAAGTCTAAGTCTATCTATCTATGTTATTGGTTAAAACACCCAACAGCTGTCAACAAACCAGATTTCTGATCAACAGGGCTTTTACACGTTAAACTGAAAAACGCAGGATCAATACTTTCCCAATTTCAGATGTAATCGTCCTCAACTCAAAGCGGACAACCAGTCATAGATGTTAATTTAAGATATTTGAAGATTTTTAGAAAAAAAGTGAACAATCTGTGCCGGAGCATCTTTCAGATTTTTCAGAGTACAGAACTTAAAACCAGGGATGCTCAACCTCACGCCATAAAGACAGTTTCTATCCAGCAGTAACTGGCCTCATCAACAAGACCAGTGACCCCCACCTATTCTTGTCCCACCCCCCTCTATCTCACTAATTTACCCAATGTTTCAGCATTTTCTGGTCTGTCGTTGCAGATCAACATTGCACACCTCAATTGTTCATTTGCACATTCGGATCTATATTTTTAAAGATTGTTCATTTGTACATTCAGATCTATATTTTTAAAGATTGTATTTATCAGTTTTATCATTTCTGTCCTATATTTTTATTTTTACATTTTATTTTCTTGCTTCTCATAGAAGTGTTGTGTTGTGCACTAAACACCAAGGCAAATTCCTTGTAAGTCTAAAAACCTACTTGGCAATAAACCTGATTCTGATTCTGATTCTGATTCAACTCCAGGCCTCACTGGCCACCGTACCACCGTTTCTGGAACTTTTCCAGCTTTAACCCACCTGGTTCTCATCGCCAGCAGGCTTGTGTTGAGGATTGTATGGATCCATTTCAGCAGAATCAGATGTGTTGCAGCAGTGAAACTTCCAAAAACCTGCAGGACAGAAAGAAGAGCGTGTATTTGATGTGTCGAGGCCAATTTTCCCCCCTTTGTCACACTCCCGTTCTCACGCTGCCGTGGTTGAGTTTGTCGTGCTCGCGGTCAATTTCTTTTAAAAGGCCGGGAACTGTCGGTAAAGTGCTTCCAACCGGACCTGAGCATAATGTCCGTGTTGTGCAAACGGAGTGACTCACCGGGCTAATGCGCCACCGGCAGCAGTCTGTTCACCAGCCCGGGCTGATGGCACGCAGCTGCCACATTGTCCTCCCCGGGCCAATTCCAACCCGGTATTTAAAAGCGGCCTGTAAAATAAACCACTTTGCAAAATGATCGCTAACAACAACAGAGGGACAGATAGAGAGAGATGGAAACCGTGAACAAGGAGAATAATGTGTTCTGGGGGAATTTTCGCAGATATAGAAGAGATTCTAGTTGTGTGGTTGTGTATAAAACATTTCCAACAGGCTGTGAGTGTCGTAGGAGCTTGCACCCAAGCATTCAATTCTCAATTTCCTACTGCTTCTCAGAAAGTCATCCCCAAAGTGCTGAAGTGAAAGTCTGGGCAAGCTCAGTCCATGCACCCTGTTGACTTCTGAATTTCTTCCCTTTAACCACACGATGAGATGACTTTAAACCAATATAAAGCTTTTGAGGGGTGTGCCTAGCCAAGGTGTGCCTAGCTTCTTTAAAGTCCGGACACTAAACACAAAGTTCCTTTGGCATTATATTGTTAACCCGATTCTTTAGTTGGAAACCTGAGAATAAACCAGAGTAGATCAAGAGCAAAAAATGACATTTATTGGGTCACAGGTAAAGTATTTCAGCGCTGGGCTCTTCACAGAGGAAACCTCTGGTCAGGTCTCAGTCGGCAAAGAGCCCTGAGATCTGGGTGTGATGGGTCTTTGTCTCCTTGGCTAGGCACACCCCTCAAAAGGAGGACTGGACACAACCAAGTCCTATTGGTTAGTTACCTCTAAGACTAACAAGCCGGATCGTAAATTCATGTTGATGACATTGGAATGTGGTACCAAATGGTGTGTGTATGTGTTGACTTAAAGACGTGGATCTAATGCAACAAAGAAAAAGGATAGAAAGAAAAGAGAGAATAAAGAGAATCTGTGGTTACAGCCAGAAACTTCAATACAAACTATAGGTATAATATAAAATGAAACAATCAATAATATGCATAGATCATGTGATAGCAAACAATGCTAAAGTGTGTATTTATAACCAAATCCTAACAATATGTAAGCTAACATTTACACTTTGTTAGAATCTGGCTATAATTACTCACGCTAGCATTGTATGTTATCACATGATCTATGTAAATTACTGTTATTTTTTTTTTCTTATAGAACTACATTTTGTGTTGAAGTCTGGCTGTGTACACAGACTCTCTTTTCTCTCTTTTCCTTTCTCTGTTGCATTAGATCCACACCTTTAGGTCAACACACACACACACACACACACCATTTGTTAGCACATTCCTGTCATCTGCATGAATTAGGACCTGGCCTGTTCATGCCCAGAGGTAACTGGCCAATAGGACTTGGTTGTGTCCAGTCCTCCTTTGAGGAGGCGGATGGAGCCCAGGAGATAATGCCCATCACCCAGATCTCAGGGCTCTTTGCCCACTGAGACCCAGAGAGAGCTTTTAGTCTGTCAGAGCCCAGCTGATACACTTAACTGTGTCCAATAAATGTCATTTTGATAATTTTGGTCTACTCTGGTTTATTCTCAGGTTTCCAACTAAAGAATCGGGCTAACACCCACTGTCATATAAAACATGTCCAATAGGCTGTGAGTATTGTATGAGCTTGCACCCAAGCACTCAATTTCCTGCTACTTACACAGAGTTTTCCTCAGTCTCAGAAAGTCATCCCCAAAGTGCTGAAGTGAAAGTCTGGGCAAGCTCAGTCCACGCAATCTGTTGATTTCTGAATTTCTTCCCTGTAACCACACGATGAGATGACTTTAAACTAATATAAAGCGTCTTTATAGTCCAGACGCTAAACACAAAGTTCCTTTGGCATAATATGTAAGCTAACATTTACACTTTGTTAGAATTTGGCTATAATTACTCGCATTAGCATTGTATGCTATCACATGATCTATGTAAATGACTTTTTTTCTTATAGAACTACATTTTGTGTTGAAGTCTGGCTGTGTCCACAGACTCTCTTTTCTC